AGGCCTGCCCTGGACTTGCCCCAGGGACCCTGAGTGAACCAGCCTAGGCGACCCTGAGTTTGTCCATGACCACCCTGGAGCATGTAGTCCCTTCCACTACCATAAGTCTTTGGTGAAGCGACTGGCGAGCCTTCCCCCCCTCGGGCTCTGCACTTGCCCAGGAAGGCCACGTCGCGTTTGAGCCAGGCCCCCGTGGATACTCCTTGCGTCTCGTGGACGGCGCGATCACGAGGCTCCGCTTCAGGAACCGCGGCGGCGTGTTCGAGCCGGAGCTGCGCGCGACGAACCGCCACATCCCCGCAACGCAGGGCTTTGACGCGAAGAGCGCGGCCAACCGCGTGCTCGAACACTTCGAGGTGAGGCGCGCGGTGGTGCCTTTGTCAGAGGAGGCCCGGTTGACCTTCAAGGGCTCCTGGATGGTGTTCGGCGCGCAGTGCGCGCTCATGCGGGATCAGGGCAATGGGGCTCGCGCGGCCTTGTTGGGATCCAGCCCTTGGATGCTCGGCGTGATCTCGGTGGCGCTGCTCATTCTGGAGCTCGCGGTTGGCGAGGCGCCGATGGGTGGAGAGGCCAAGGTGATGGAGTATCACGTCGCCCCGGCGTGGGGCATCCTAGACGTCTCGGGGCCCGGGGGATCAGCGCCACGCAAACGGGGGTGTTGGCGGGCCCGTCCAGGGGGGGGGACTTAGAGATATCCCGGCCCGTGGTTCCAGCATGCAGTCGGCTGCGCGGGCCCCCGCCGGGTGTTTTTTCCATTAATTTTGTTGCGGGGCTCTCGAGGTCTCCACGGCGTTCGCGCCGCCCTTGAGGAAGGGCGCGAGAGCCAGGAGGTGGGGGAGGAGACAGAGAGGGCCGCGCGGGACGCCGCCAGCCGCAGGGCTGCCGGCGCAGTCCAGGTCGGCGCGGTCGGCGACGAGTGGGGCCAGTGGGCCTTGACCCAGGCTCAGCCGCGGCGCGCCCTCCCAGGGCGACCGTGGAATCAAGTCAATACTGTTCGCGCTTCAAGGGGGGCCGCGGGCCGCGGGCTTTTGATTCTCGGGGCGCGCGCGCGAGCAGCGCCATGCCGCGGGCCAGGGGCACGCGGGGGGCGCGGGGCCAGGGGCAACTGGGGAAGGCACGGGGGGGGAGACATTATTCGGAAGGCCTCTTATCAAAGCTGCGGTTCCGCGCGGCAGGTTCCGACGTCGGCGGCGGCCCAGCGGGCGGCGGCGTCGACGGCGAGGGCGACCGCGAGTTCGAGGGGCTGGGCAATCAGACCAGCCACGGCGGCGCCGCGGCCGCGGAGGAGGAGGGGCCGCCGCTGGCGAGCGCGGCCAACGATGGCGCGGGAAACGCCGCAAGGGCGCCGCCAGCGGCGGCTGCGGCCGAGGGGGGCGGCGCGGACGCAGGCGCCAATTTCCTGATGCCGGGCGACCCGGAGGCCCCCTCCATGGATGAGGAGCACGGCGAAGACCAGAGATGGCGCTTGCGCTGCGCGGGGTCGGCGTGGGCAAGGTCGAGGGGGCTTCGAGCCAGGGTGGAGGGGCTTCGCCCAGCTGGAAAAAGCTTCGGTGGACTCAGAGGGGGTGCGACAGGGGGTGGGACTGCGCGTCCTTGATCGGCTTCCCTCAGGACGGCGCCTCGGCGCAGACGCAGGAGCACGGCGACGTCTTCCTCACCGACAGGGGGATTATGAAGAAAATCATTTCGCGAGGAGACTCTCTGGCAGTTCTGGTCCCCGACCGATTAGATGCGGGGCGCTCTCTGGCAGGTTTGGTGCCCGATCGAAACCCTGCGGCCTCAGTGTGCCTGTGCTGGGCAGCTGTGGCATGCTGGCTTCGCGCAGGACGCAAGAGAGGAGGATCAGGACCGGGAGTAAAAGGGCGATCGAGCTAGCCAGTTCGAGCGAGTCAAGCATGGCATGCACATTCCTACCGTGATTCCCACCCGCCCTACCACAACATAAGAAACAATGATGGCGCATTTGGTAACCGAAATCAATACTCGTCAAGGTGGTGTGCCACAGCTGATGCAGCCGCCATGGTGGTTACCGATGGGGGAGTCCTCGCTCGTCTTAAAGGCTGCGCTGGCACTTCAGCGCGAGCCGAGGATGCCCCAGGGGGCCCCAGGAAACCTCAGGAGGCCCCAGGAGGCTTCAGGATGCCTCAGGAGGTGGTGGGAAGCTACAGGGGGCCCCAGGGGGCTTCAGGAGGCCGCAATTCGCATTGCCGACGACAAGACAGGCCATGTTGAAAGGAGAAGCGGAGACTTTGTGTTGAGCTTTGACAGTCAGGGTGGGAGTGCCCAGATTGACGTCCGCGCGCGATGTGCGCCGCGTCCCATTCCTGCTACGCAGTTCGCATCGTCGACGACAAGACAAGCCATGTTGGGGGGAACAACGGGCATCTCGCACTGATGTCGCACAGTCTGGATGGGAGAGCCCAGATGCAACCGCCATCGGCCAGACAGATGGGAGAGTAGGAGTATGATATACAAATCAAGCTAGCCAGCTCGAGCGAGTCAAGCATGGCATGCCAGATCCCACCCAGCCCTCCCACAACATAAGAAGCAAAGCTGGCACAACTGGGGCCGAAGTCACACCGGCCAGCCTGTTTGGTACAGCTGATGCGGCCGCGATGGCGGTTGCCGACGGGAACTGGCGAGCGCGTGTTGAATGCCGCGCACGCATTGCCAGACGAGTCGAGAATGGCCCGGTACACCGCAGGAAGCCAGAGGTGGCCGGAGGAAGCCCGACGGTCTGACAGGACACCCCAAAGCATTTTTGTGAAAATGCATGGGGTTTTTGATGTTTTTATGTTGAAATGCTTGCAAACACACGGTGTTCGGTAGGATTCTGACATGAACGCGCGAGTGTGCTCTTTGTGGTTTTTTGCACAGGATATTCGCCGGCTTGGGTGCAATGACAGAGCCATCGCGAGTGCACCGCGCGATGACGATGAAATCGGAGGATTCGGTAGAATTCTTTAAGATTCCACAATGTTTTCCTATTAAATGAAGGCCTTTCCTGTCCTCATATAGACCTAAGAATGGATTGCAGCAACAGAAAACCCGGGCGGGAAAATTTGTAACAATTTTAATGTTGAAAAAGCATCGGGTTTTTGATGTTTTTATGTTGAAATGCTTGCAAACACACGGTGTTCGGTAGGTTTCTGACATGAACGCGCGCGTGTGCTCTTTGTGGTATTTTTTGCAATGGATTATCGCCGTGGACGACAGGACGTCCATGTCGAGAGGAAAAAATAAGAAACATGTTGATTTTGTATTGTTTCTTACAGGTTAGGATGGGACCACCCGGATGCGCCCGCTATCTGCCGGCCTGAGGGGGGAGTAGGATTATATTCTAATAAGGAATAAGGATAGGAGTAATATTGAGGAGGATGTGGAACGATATTGCCATGCATCTTCCCGTCCCATGTCCCCATCTGTATATTTATAAGTCCTTATTCTTTGTTCACAACTGGACGCGCGCATTTGAAGGACAGGCGCCCTGCGGGCGTGGCGTTCACGATTCGCGGCAGACCCGGCGCACCCAGCACAAGACCCGGCGCACCGAACGCACCCGGCGCCGAGCGAACCCGACGCACGTGGCGCACCCTCCGCACCGAGCGCACCCGGCGCCGAGTGCATCCGGCGCACCCGGGACATCCAGCGGCCTGGCACCTGGCGCCGAGAGCATCCGGGACACCCGGCGCACCCGGCACCGAGCGCACCCGGCGCCGAGTGCACCCGGCTTACCCGGCACACCCGGCGGCCCAGCAACCGGCGCCGAGTGCCCCCGGGACACCCGGCGCACCCGGCGCCGAGCGCACCCGGCACCCGGCGCCGAGCGCACCCGGTGCACCTGGTACACCCAGCGGCCTGGCACCTGGCGCCGAGAGCATCCGGGGCACCCAGCGCACCCGGCACCGAGCGCACCCGGCGCCGAGTGCACCGTGCACCCGGCACATCTGGCGGCCCAGCACCTGGCGCCGAGGGCACCCGGGACACCTGGCGTACCCAGCGCCGAGCGCACCCGGCACACCTGGCACACCTGGCGGCCGGGCACCCAGCGCCGAGTGCACCCGGGGTGCCTGGCGCACCTGGCGCCGAGCGCGCCCGGCACACCCAGCACACCCGGCGCACCCAGCACCCCGCACAAGCAACTGTTATGTATGTGTGTGTATATATATACACACACACACCGTTCTAATTGTTTCATCGTTTCGGTATATGGTCGGGATGGGACGGCTATGACGCGCGGTTGTGTGCTAGTTTGGAGGTCAGATCTACTGTGGCCTGTCAGGAGGCCTCTTGGGGCCTCTCGGAAGCCGTTTGGGAACCTCTTTTTGGCTTCTTTTTTTGGTCTTTGGGGGGCCTCTGGGGCCTCGGAGGGGCCTCTTGGGGCCTCTGGGGAGCCTGCTGGTTGTTTCGGGGGCCCCTTTCGGGGCGGAGGGCTTGACATCTCAGTTCGAGTTCCCAATTTTGGACCCCTCTGAGGGCCCTCTGAGGGCCCACTGGGCGCTTCGTGGGCCGTCTTGGAGCCCTCTTGGGGCGTCCTGGGGCCCTCTTTCGGCCCTCTTGGGCCGTGTTGGGATGCTCTGGGATGCTTCTTGGGCCGTCTTGGACGCCGTGAAGACCGAAAAGTCACATATGCTTCCCCTGTATGTTTTCCCGAGGAAATGGGACGATTATTGCCTCCTGGAGCTCTCTTGGGAGCGCTCTTGGAGGCCTCTTGGGGCGTCTTGGAGGCCTCTTGGGCCGTCTGGAGGCCATCTGCAGCGTCTTGGACCGATCGCTCGGCGACTCGGGGCCCTCTTGGACCGTCTGAAACTCTTGCAGCCCTCTTGGCCCGTCTTGGGGGCCGTCTTGGGGTCCTCCAGGGGCGCTCCGGACCCAGCCCGTCCAGCGCACCGCAGATCAAGGCATACCCAATTTCTATGTATACAGGTCCCAATTGTATTAATACAACTATCTGTATAAACATGTATGTATGTGTGTATGTGTGTATGTATGTATGTATGTATGTATGTATGTATGTATGTATGTATGCATATATGTATGCATGTCTGTCTGTCTGTCTGTTTGTCTGTATGTATGCATGTATGTATGCATGTATGTATGTATGTATGTATATGTATTGATGCATACATGTATCCATGCATATATGTATGTATGCATGTATGCATGTATGCATGTATGTGTGCATGCATGTATGCATGTGTGTATATACGTATGCCATGTATGCATGTATGTACATCGATATGTATGCATGTTTCGTATGTGCAAATCGATATGTATGTATGCATGTACGTATGCCTGTATATATAGATGTATATGCATGAAGGTATGGTATGCATGCATGCATCTATGTATGTATGTATGTATGTATATATATATGTATGTACGCATTCATGTATGTATGTATGTATGACTGTATGTATGTATGTATGCATGCATGCATGTATGTATATATTTATGTATGTATGTATGTATGTCTGCATGTATGTATGTATGTATGTATGTATGTATGCATGCATGCATGTATGTATGTATGTATGTATGTATGTATGTATGTATGTATGTATGTATGTATGTAATGTATGTCTGCATGTATGTAATTATGTAGGTATGCATGCATGCATGCATGTATGTATGTATGTATGTATGTATGCATGTATGTATGTATGTATGTATATATGTATGTATGTATGTATGTATACATGTGTGTATGTGTATGTGGATGTGTATGTGGATGTGGATGTGTATGTGTATGTGTAGGTGTAGGTGTATGTGTGCGTGCAGGTGCATGTGTATGTGTATGTGTATGTGTATGTGTATGTGTATGTGTATGTGCATGTGTATGTGTCTTGGGGCCGTGTCTTGGGCCGTCTTGGGCGCCCCTTGAGCCGTCTTGGGCCCCTTTAGGGGCGTCTTGGGGCCATATTGTGGGCCTCGGGGCGTCTTGGGGCAATCTTGATGGCCTCTTGGGCCATCTTGGAGCGCTGGGAACCCGAAAAGGCAAGAACGCCCAAATCCTGCAAGAATCTGAGAAACATGTGTGAATTTTGCATCTTGCCTCCCCCCCCCTTCCCTGCTGGAGAGGCTCTTGGGGCTGTGGGGCGTCTTAGGGGCCTCTTGGGCCGTCTGGAGGCCATCTGGAGCATCTTAGACCAATCGTTCGGCGACTCGGAGCCCTGCGTTACCGTCTGACAGGCCACTTGGGGTCCTCTGAGGTCCTCTTGGCCCGTCTTTGAGCCCTAGTGGGCCCGGAAAAATATTGTAACAAGACGTGGGCAACCGCGGAAGAGCCGCGGGGAGCCGCAGGGAATCGAAGAATTTGGGGCCCGGCCCCTCCGTACTTAATCCTGAGGATTGAGGACTGAGGGAAAACCCTAGCCTGAGGACACTCCAACTTGTGCCTCGTATTATGGTGGCGGATAAGGACATCGGTTCCCCAGGCGGTGCATATGGATACTTTCCCGCCTCGCATCAATGTACCATGCTGCCCTCGAACTCTCCCAGGTCCAACATCTTATGTCGCGACCGCATCGCATCGCACGGAGCAAGAATCCCTTTCAAGCACCACGAGGGGATCGACGCACGCACGCCTCGCTGCAGGATGGCGAGATGGCAGAAACAGCGTACGGGGAGCCGCGCATATCTTCATTAGGTCACCCGCAGGTGGGCGAAGACAATCTAATCCGAAAACCCTGATTAGGGAATCGATGAACACAGTGCCGGGGCACTGCTTTCAACAATGCGCATCGTTCAAAGCAGTGCCCTGGCACTGCTTTGAACGATGCGGAAGTCTGGTCAGAAGGGGGCAGGGCAACAGCATGATCGCCTTCGTCGTGCCCTTTCGACGTCATCGCGGCCACAGTGCCAGCGCAGCATTCTGTGGCGACGCTTCGAGCGCCGCCGAGGAGGCCATGCCATGCCACACTTCTCGCCTCTATACATTCCCTGAGGGGCGTTCTCACGGAGCCTACCTGGGCCGTCTTTGGCCACGTTGGGGCTCTCTTTTGGGGCTTCCTGTGCAATCTTTGGGCTCTCTTGGGGGGCAGTCCTGGGCCGCTCTTGGGCCGTCTTGAGGGCCTTGGGGAGTCCTTTTGGGGCCTCCTTGGGTTCTCATGATATTTGTTTGGCTCTTCCGAGGCCCTCTTGGAAGCATTTCGAGCCGAGAGGCAAGTGACACCCAACGTAATCCAACGCCACAATATCTCTTGTCCATAGACGGAGATGGGGTTCTCATTTATATTGTGATGCCTCCACCTCCATCCTTCTCCTTCCTTCCCGTCTCCACTCCCAACTTCCTGTTCCTTCGCCTCACTCGATCAGGGTCAGACTCATATTCACTCATACTCAGCTGCAGACTCAGTGACAGACTCATTCATGTGGAAACTCGCTCACACTCAGACTCCCTGACACTCAGACTCACTCGTACTCAGATGACGCATACCCAGGCCATACACACTCAGATCGTCGTATGTTCATATTCATTCACATTCAGACTCATTCGCACTCAGTCACTATTCACATCCACTCTTACTCGACCTAGTCATAATCAGACTTACACACTCTGGTCACTCAGACCCAGACTCATTTACAGTCAAACTCATACGTAGAAGAACGCAGACTTTGTCACTCATACTCAGACCCATCCATACTCGCTGCTCATACTCAGACTCGCTCATAATCATCGTGGTGAAGCGTGTGCGGGATTTTGGGCCCACCAAGGAAGAACCGCCAGTGGGCACGACACTTGCCCGTTCGCGCCCGGATTGTGGGGATGTCTCGAGCGAGGCGCATGACCACCGCGATGCAGCAGGCATGTCACTTGGACACCCCAAGATTGGATCTGCCAGGGCGTATGACACTTGCCCGTGCGCGCCCACATTGTGTGGATGGCTCGGGTGAGGCGCTCGTCAGGAGTCCGCGGCTCCTCTCTTTTTAAGGGCCTCACGATCACTGCGATGTACCAGGCGTCGCACTTGGGGCATCCCAAAGAGGAGCCGCCAGGGTGTATGACACTTGTCTGTTTGCGCCCATCTAGGGACGTCTCGAGCGAGGTGCTCGCGAGGAGTCCCCGACTCTTTCTCTTTTGAGAACCTCGTGATCACCGGGCTGCAGTAGGTCCAATGTGGAGAGCTGCCAGGTGGTCTGCCGCTTAACCGTGCGCGCTCAGACTGTGGGGATGGCTCGAGCGAGGCGCTCGTTCAGATCTCCCGACTCCTTGATTTTGCGGACCTCATGACCGCCGCGATCTTTGCCTTGGCCCCCCCAGGGGCAGCCGCCAGGAGGTGTCAGATTTACGTCTGGCCTGTCCCTCTACAGGAGGGCAAACTCAAAAATAGTAGAAACATCGTCAGGGAACGATTTTGTTGGCTATTTTTGTATTTTTGTTGTTGTTTGGGATATGCATAGTGAATGGCACGCGGGCAGATAGGAGCGAGCAGTCTTACAATGATTGTTGCTGTTGCTGTTGCTGTTGCTGTTGTTGTTGCTGTTGCTGTTGTTGTTGTTGTTGTTGTTGTTGTTGTTGTTGTTGTTGTTGTTGTTGTTGTTGTTGTCGTTGCTGTTGATGAGTATTTTTGATCTTTCGCCCAAAATCCTTCTGTAGGGGGACATGCCCGAGCTAATGTTAGATATGCCTGTTCGCGACCAGATCGTCGGGGCGTCCCGGGCGAAAAGCTGGCTTCCGCACCCCCGACGGCTGGCTCTCCGCTCAGAGCCCCGTGGCCGCCGCGACGTCTGGCAGGTATATGTCGCTCGGGCGCCCCCAAGGGGGGGGCCCGCCAAGAGGTGCTGTGCTTGCCCGTTCTTGGGCGATCGCAAGCATGGATCACGGGGGCGTTGATTAGCGGCGGGCCCCGTTCCCACGGGAAATCGCCCCTTCCTGCCGCCAAGCGAGGCGGCACTAGCCGCATTTTGGGGATGGCGCCTTCCCCCCGATCCATGGATTTGGCGACTGCGCGTCAAATCCATGGATCGCTGATCTGTGTTTGCGCGCCCCCGACGTTCGCGGAAGTCAGAGATAGTCAAACAATAGTCTGTGGATGATGTTGTGACTACTTTTGAGCATTTTGGGGGCATTTTTTTGATATCCTTTAATTTTTCGTCGAAACAGCCGCCTGTAGGGGGACATGCCCGACCGAACTGTCGTTCCGAGCCGATCCCCGCGGACCCCGAACGCCCAGCTCCGCCCCCGCCCCGGTGGGGGTCCGCGGACACAGGTTCAACCTCTCTCAGCACATCATCCCCGCCGCCACGCTCTTCGACACCTCTCCCACGCCCGCGCCGCCCCTGACGCCGGCGCCGACGTCGGGAGCGACACCGGCACCGACGCCAGCGCCGACGCCAGCTGCGACACCGCACCCGACGTCAGCTCCGTCAGGATCTCCGACGCCAGCTCCGACGTCGGTGCCCGTGGCGTCGCCAACTCCAGTGCCAGCAGGACCGACAGCAGATCCGACGGGCGCTCCGACGGCAGCTCCTCCAGCGCCGACGTCGTCGCCGACGCTGGCGTCTGGGTCCAAGCGGAAGATCCTGTGCCTTCATGGTGGCGGTGGCGACGGGGCGTCTTTCCAGGCATCCTTCCCAGAGTTGCAGAGCTCTTGGAGCTCGAATTTCGAGTTCGTCTTCGCTGACGCGCCTTACGCGGGTGGGCTTTGGATTGAAGATCCACCTGGAGGGAAAGGTCAGCCTACAACGGACCCCAATTGGGCATCAGAGTCAGTCAGTTATCTGGATGGGCTGATCCAAAGTAGCGGGCCATTCTATGGTATCTTAGGATACTCGCAAGGGGCGGCATTCATACCTTTTTACCTTTCCCACGTTTCTTCTGGATATTTCCAGGTGGCACTGATGTTCTGTGGGTATATTCCATCGACCCATCTTGGCCTTGTTGACGCGATCAACTCAGGCAGCCCGTTTGGTAACATTCGCGCACTTGTGTTCATGGGTGTAAATGACAGCGTCATAACCAATGAGATGTCACTTGAGCAAGCTGCCTTATTCACTTCGCCCGTCGTCATAACAAGCAGCATTGCGGGCCACAACTTGCCATACTCTTCCGATCCTACGTTCGACAATGTCGTAGATTTTCTCGAACATAGTTTGGTAACGACGTCATCGCCTACGCCGCCGCCGACGACGATGCCAGCTCCAGCAACGGCAGCTCCGACGGCAGCTCCGACAACAGTTCCGTCGCCGACGACGGCTCCGACGGCGTCCCCTACATGGCCCCCAACGGAGACTCCGGCCAGGGCCAACGACGCTAGGTTTCTGCTGCATGCTACATTCGGGCCGACGAAGGAGAGCTTGGACGAGCTGCAGGGGAAAGCTTACTCCGATTGGATTCTAGACCAGATGCAGTTGCCGGTCGGCTCGCATCGGGAATATTACCGGAAGCGCGTCAGCCCACGGAAGAACAGCGATTACGCGTATATCAATTTCGATGAGAGGCTCATTTGCGCGAAGGGCTCCCGCTGGCACGGGTACGCGCTGACCCGAGACGACATTGGTGCGAGTATTTTCATCAACGGCGGGAAAGTCACGATCGGCAACGAGGTGAGAACGGACATCGACCCAGGGTACGCTCTGAACGGCCTAAGCGCGCCGATGACGGATTGCACGGACGTGCCAACGCCGCTGTGGGTCTGGCAGAGCACTCCCTGCACCACCAACAAGGGCGCCCACCTCAACAATTGGTGCAAGTACGATCCCGAGTGGGTCAGTGGCAAGCACTGCCAGCAGAGCTGCTTCGACTCGGGCAACGGCTACGATGGGGATGACTGTTCGGGCGGATGGCCCTCCAGGGAAGGGTACGGCGGCATCGTCTGCCTCGTGGAGGAGTCGATCGGCGGAATGGTCGTGCTGGGTCAGACCCACGCCTGCAACCCCGGGGAGAAGATCTTCCTGTTCAATCCCGCCATCTGGTTCGCGGACGCGTCGGTGGCGGTGCCGACCACGCTGCCGTTTGACGTGAGCAGCTGGAGGCCAGGGCTCATATTCTTGCGGGAGAACGCGCAGGGCTGCTCCCTCGGCAGCAAGGGGTTCCCGTGGGAGGGAAAGGGGGGGCGCGAAGGTGAGCCTCGTGAGGCCCTCCTTGGGCGCTCCTGGGGCGCTCTTGGGACCGTGTTGGGCCCCTCTGGGACCCCTCTTGGGGCCCTCTTGGGCCGTACTGGAGCCATCTAGGGGCCTCAGGAGCCCATCGTGGGCTCGTGGGTGCATGTTGGAGGCTATCTTGAACCATCTTGGGATATCTTGAGCCATCCTGGAGGTCATCTTGGGTTCACTCTGGCCCTCTTGGAGCCACCTGAGGGGGAGGGGACTGAAAGCGCATTCGTATCCGCGGCCTCGCGGACCTGGACCCCGGGCCGCGACCCCGCGGACACGGGCGGACCGCGCGGAACGCATCCGTCCCACAGCGTATCCGCGGGATCGCGCCCCAGAATCCAGACCGCGAGCGCGTGGATCTGGATACGTTCTCCGCTCATTCTGCGGCAGTTTTCGAGCCATATCGATCTGTGATAGTCCTGGGGCCCGAGACTGGGCGAAAACGCCCGGTGAGAAGAACTCGCAACGCCCGAATCTCAGGGTAGTCCTTGCCTCCTGCCCTCCTCAGTCACCTGTCCAGGCTCATACTGAAGGACGGGGCTTTCTACCGGCACCAGACTAGGCTGGCGCTCGAGGACAACAGGGCTGGAACCAAACGGTGTTTTGGCCATCTTGTGGGCGCTGTTGTTTTTTTCGTTCTGTTTTGCATTCGAGGCGAAGAGAGGGCAGGACGAGGAAGATCGCGAGACAAAGCGAAAACTGAAAACATCGTTTAGGTTTAAGTCGGGCGTGTCCCTCTGCAGGAGGAATAGCCAAGTATAGTAAAAAGATAGTCAGGGTACGATTTTTTGATTATTTTTGGGCATATTTAGATTTATTTTTCGACTATTTTCAATTCTTTGTCCAATATCCGCCTGTAGGGGGACATGCCCGACCTAAGTTTAGGTTCAGCCCTGTCGAGGACAACACCTGCCAGCTGCAGCCGGAGGCGGGCGCCGACGACTTCGGGATCGACGGGCACCTGTGCGGCTCGCCGGGCGAGGTCTCGAACGCCGGGACCGGGGGGCACCAGTTCCCCATCCGTGCCTCCGGGTGGTTCCCGCCGGCGAACGCCGCGCCGCCAGATTACCTGTACGACAACAAGTCGGGGGAGGGAACATATGCACAGCCACCACCAGTCGGCGTCACCCCTATGTGTGCGTCGGCCCCACCATGGGCGACGCGTGCACCGAGAGATCTTATAGTATATGCGTCGTGGCGGGCGCTTCTTGGCCACGCCGCTCGGGAAACGATGTACTACAAGATGGGCCTACTATATGTTCGGGTCGGACGCGCGCCTCCGAGGAGGACACATAGTACTCTTACGTCTCTGTGTGTGTCCCAACCAGGCCTCCTGTCGACCGGCCCAGATCTTGAGGCCGGATTTGAGCTGTGTGCCAGGCATGAGCCAGGCTGGGAGTCGGGCCCCAGCACGGGCCTGCTGAGGCCTGCCTGCTTGCTGTGCTCGGGGAGCACGGAATGTCTGGCACCGCCGCGGGGGGGGGGGGCCTGGCGCCGATCCTGGAAATTCGCGCGGGCCTCCGAGTTTTATGCTGATGTCATAGTTTGCTCTCCGAGATGTGTGCGTTTCCCCTTCCCCTGACAGGTACGGTACCCACCTGTTCAAGTGGCCGCCATTGACCGTGTGGCTTGCCAGGGGCGCGGTTTGGCTGAACCAGGCGCTGCACGCTGCAGACCAGCTGCGCCAGCGGGTGGCTTGGGCACTCTCCCAGATCTTCGTGATCGGATCCGCCCTCGGCGGCCACGACTACTTCACCGAGATGTGGACCAACTACTACGACATCTTCGTGCGCCACGCCTTCGGGAATTACAGGGACGTGCTGAGGGAGGTAACGTTCTCGCCGCTGATGGGCGAGTACCTCACGTACATGACCAGCTTCTCTTTCGACGACAGCCTCTCGTATGCCGACGAGAACTACGCCCGCGAGGTAATGCAGCTCTTCACCATCGGCGTCGCAAAGGTCACCAGCGACGGTCGAGTGGTCGTCAACGAGAAGGGAGAGGACGTGCCGACTTACACCAATGATAATATCATGAACTTTGCTCGCGTCTTCACAGGGTTTGTCCGCTGGAACGACCGGCGCAAGAACATCGAATTGGCTACGGAGGACGGGATCGCTAACTACATTGACCCCATGAGGATCCGCGGCAGGGTGCACGACGTCTACCCTAAGCCAGACCTGTACGGCGGTTATCTTGGCGACGGATATCCCCTGTGCAGCACCATGCCAGACCGACCCTTCCTGCTCGCTGGAGCCCGATTCGAGTTCCACGGCCAGTCGCCGAACTGCACAGTCCTGGACGTCATGTACGACCCGCGCGACATGGCAGGCCAGTACGCCAGCACGGAGCAGGACGCGGCGGCTTGCCAGCAGCGCTGCAAGTCCGTGAGCGGCTGCGCGCACTTCACGTTCAGGGTCCACGATAAGAGGTGTTCCCTTGCGGACGCAGCCGCGCGCGAACTCCCGGCCTACGAAATGTGGTCAGGCCCGCCAGACTGCGCCGCCCTCGTTTTTGAGCCCAGCGCTGGCTCGGGCCTGCTGAGTGCGCTGTGCGGCGGCGACGAGAGCGATTGCAAGATTGCACCCTCGCGCACGTTGCTATCGGCCTTGCCGTGCCACGGGTCCGAGTGCACGCTTGAATCACTCACTTATATCAAGGTTCCTGGCGGCTACTACGAGTACGTGCCGCCACCTTGTGTACACATGTTCTTTTACAACGGGGTACATACGGAAGACGGACAGTGGTGGGGCGAATCGGTGTACTATTTCGGGCGAGAGTGTGTGCAGCCGTACGGGAAGCTCGCCGTCGCGTCTTGTTGCAGGGGGTGTACGAACGACGAGAACTATTGGATGCAACTGAAAGGCTACACCTGCTTGAACCATAACACGACTTGGCTTACCTGGCCAGATGGCCTCCCTGCGATGACCGAAGAGAAGTGCAGGCTCGGGGATCAGTATAACTGGCTGGATCCCAAGGCCTGCCGGCTTTCATGCTGGGAGGGAGGCGCAGGCTACGACGGAGACGACTGCAGCGAGGGCGCTTACGCTGAGAGCCGAGTCTGCGGCGTCCACGTTAGCGCCCATGACGCCGAGAGCCACTGCGCCAGCCTCGGTATGCACGTGTGTGCGGAGGAGACCCAGCAGGAGTGCGACTTGCCAGCGGAGCGCGTGTGGACGCCCTTCCCGTGCTCGGTCGTGGTGACAGTCCACGATGACGGCATGATCAGCGCGCACACTCAATACCACCATCAGAACAGGTTCATGCCCAGCTGGGCGGATGGTGGGCCCCCGCCGGCGGGCGACTACAACGCCACAGTGGAGGCCGAGCCGGTGTTCACCACCGTCCCGACCAAGGCGGAGGCGGTGGCTGACCTGAAGATTCTCGTGTTCGAGGTGCCCAACGGAGCCGAGTGCGCGCAGCCGTGCAGCGGCGAGGTGAGGGCTTGGGGTGCTGATCCCCCGGACGCCGACACCGTCTTCGAGGTCGACGGCAAGCTCTACAAGAACGAGCGGAGCATGGTCCGCGTGGGGAGCGCCTCCTTCCGCAATCCGCCAGGCTTCATCGCTCCAGGGGCGCTCCGCCAGACTGGCCGGGCGCTGGAGCGTGCTGCGCATGCGGAGGTCGAGAGCCTCCTGGACCACCTGTTCTATCACTCCAACACGCCTGTGGTGGTCAGCCGCAAGCTGATCCAGCGCTTCGTGACCTCGAACCCGTCTGGTGATTACCTCGAGGCTGTGGCGACGGCCTTCTCCACGGGCGCCTACGACGGCCACGTCTACTCTGGCAAGTACGGGGACCTTGCGGCTACCATCACGGCTGTCCTTCTCCACCCAGAGGCCCGCTCCGCCGAACTCAACACCGTGGGACTGCTGAGGGAACCGATGCTCAAACTGGTGCACTTCATGCGGTCCATGGAGTACACGGACTACAAGGACCAGATGGTCGTCACGAGGAATTTGGACCTAGCGATCGGGCAGTTCCCGTACAGGTCCCCGACCGTTTTCAATTTCTTCGACGCCCTGTATTCGCCGCCCAGCTTTTCGGGAGTACAGCAGGAGATGATGCGGCAGAAAGCAACGACGATCTCGGAGGCGGAACCCGAGCCCCAGCCCGAGCCGTTCGTCGGCCCCGAGTTCCAGATCTTCACCCCGCCTTGGGCCATCGGGTGGCTCAACGGCGTTGCGGGCATCATGGACCGTGGCGTCAGCCTCTGCCGCGACGGCTTCGGGGTGGTGTTCGCCGTGAATCAGTACACAGGAAGCTACGGCGCCAACTACGGCAGTGACGACACGATGGAGTGCCACGAGGGTGACCTGCTCTATGCCACCAACAGCTCCTCGGCCGAGGAGGCCGTGCAGGATCTGGACCTGCTGCTCACCGGCGGCCGCCTGACGCCCCACAACAGGGAGGTGGTGGAGGCCGCGTACGCTGGCTCCGGGCTCAAGGGTGCGCAGCAGGCGATCGTGCTGACGCCCGAGTTTCAGACCCTCGGGGCGCCTCTGCCGAGCGGCACCCGGGCGAACCAGACCGAGGAGGCGCCCCACACGCCAGGCTCTTACAAGGCGCTGGTGATGCTGTTTCTCCACGGCGGCGCAGACACTTACAATCTGATCGTGCCGATCGGGTGCGCCCTGTACGGCGAGTACGCGAGCGCGCGCGGGAACATGGGGGTCGCCCAGGAGAGTCTCCGGCCCATCACGACGACCGGACAGGTGTGCGGTACATTCGGTGTGCACCCGTCCATGCCTTTCCTGCAGCAGCTGTACGATTCGCGCAAGCAGGCTGCGTTCGTCAGCAACATCGGGGCCCTGGTGGAGCCGACCACCAAGGAGACGTGGAAGAACGGCGAAGCCGATCGGTGCCTGGGCATCTTCTCCCACAACCACCAGCAGAACGCCGCGCAGACGCTCAAGTGCCAGGAGGCGGGCGCGGTGCCGAGAGGCGTCGGTGGCCGATTGGCAGACGTGCTTGAATCCGTGCAGAAGATGGCGGTCTCATCTTTCTCCGTCTCGGGAATCTCTACCTGGTCTGTGGGTTTCAACACCAGCACTGAGATCATCCACCCGGAGAAGGGCGCTATCCGCTTCGACAAATTCCAGGAGTGGAGCGGCGCCATCGATTCTATCACCCAGCAGAAGTACGGCAATGTCTATTGCGAGGAGTACGCGACGTCCTTCGCCGAACACATTAGGAGCAGCGAGGAGTTGGGGGTTCTTTTCGACCAGGTGGAGCTCGACACAGTGGAAACCTACGCGACGGAAACGGGGGGGCACCGTAAATTGCTCGTTCAGTATGTTTTTGGTTGAAGGGGCTTCCCCTCGAAGGGCCTGGCCGAGGAGGAAGGAGCGAGGAGTACCTGGCCTGCCGCCCCCTGCCAGACTCGCAGACTCGTCTCCTTGTTGCAGTTTGCATTATCCCATCGTTTTTGTTTGTTTGTTTTCCCTGATGGTTTGAACACGTGTTGTGTTTCTTTTGTCGTTCATGCTTTTTCCATGTCTTGCATCAAGAACTGTTCATCATATTGCATATTGGCAGACTTGGAAGGAGAAGGCGAGAGGGAGGCTGGGGACCCCTGTGAGCGTCCAGGCCTCCCCAGTGGGTTCAGAGTGCCTGGGGTCGAATGATCGCGGCGCATCGCTGATGCATCGGTGATGCAGCGTGACCTTCTCCAGCCCGATGTTCGCATTGCCGATGCGGTGCAATCTTCCGACGCACCTCACTTCAGCCCCGTGTGGGCGGCCTCCAAAGCGGCCTTCGGCCCATTCCGCCACTGTGCCTGGGTCTTGGACGAGAGACTTCTTAGAGGCCTCTTGGGTTCTTTGGGGGCCCTCTAGGAGGCTTCATGTGGGCCTTCAAGAGGCCTTCTTCTTGGGGCGGCCATCTTGGTGGGGAGGGCTCCTGGAGCATTTTTCCCCATTTAGGGTTTGCTTAGGGGTCTCGTACTTGTTCCCACCTCTCCTGCGTTGGGTTCTCCTCTTGCACAGAGCACTGCGGTCTCCAGGTCCTCCTCCCGCCTCCCGCCTCCCTCCTCCTCTCTTTCCCCCTGCCTCCTGCTTGTCCTCGCACTCCCCGGCTGTGACAGCGCCCAGACTGCTGAAGTCGCGCTTACCCCGCCGACCCGCGCAGTCCGGATCGCAGGAGACAGCCTGCCGGCCGTGCGCTCCGCGGCGCGGGGACCGGGCGCTACAGTTGAGTCGGGCGTGCCCCTCCACAGGAAGAGTATCCAAAGATAGTAAAAAAATAGTCAGGGGACGATTTTTTTGACTGTTTTCGATGATTTTGGACTATTTTTTTGGGTATTTTTTATTATTCGTCCAAAATCCCCCTGTAAGGGGACATGCTCGACTTAACGCTACAGGCGCCTGCCGCTGGCCGCGCAGATGGAGCAGTACCTTCGTCCCTTGGTGACCCGGGGCTGGGCCATCACCTGGCAGGCCGTGCGTCGCCGCCTGAAGAAGGCGGCCATAGGCTCGCCACCCTCGGCGTGTTCTGGGCTGACGCCCTGCGCACCGCCGGGGTACAGGACTCACAGATGTGGGTCGTCTGGCACCAGCGGCCCCCAGGGGCGCCTCCCTCCCACTTTCCTGGCCAGGGCTGCGATTTTCTGGACAACGCCGAGGTCGAAACCGTCGCCGACCGACTCGAGGCCGATGCCGCGTGAGCCCATCGAGCCGGTCGGCTTGGACAGTCCCTTCCGTCTCGCCGAGGCCCTGCTGCTGCCGCTACCGCGACGTGCTGCCCGTGTGGGCAGGGCGTTGCCTCCCTCTGTTCCCTGCGACATCTCGTCGCTCACATGGCCTCCGACGCAGCTGACGGGCCTCTCTGCCGCCACCCCAGATGTGCCTCCTGCGCCCTGCAGCCCCCGCGCGGCCCCGCCGGGAAACCGCTCTTCCGCTGCCGTGAGGCGCCATTCGTTCGGTGGGCCCGGCACCGCGTGCAGCACTGGTACGGCTGGTTCTGTGAGGCCTGCCAGAAATGGATCTCCTCCGGTGACCACCTCACGTCCAAGGCCTACAGAACAACGTCGGCCACTTGGGTGCCTTGGGCTACCTGGAAGTTCACTGCAGGCGGCTTCATTTACCAAGGAGGGCGCTTCACCTACAACGGACCCGTCACGCAACACCCAGGCTGGACGGACGCTTTCCAGCAGACCGACGACGCCTGGGAGTACGATTCCCGGGACCGGGACGCGGTCCTGGTCTGCTTCCCACCTGTGTGCGCCCCTCTTGATTGGGTTATGCCGCCCAGCACCCAAGTGAACATCAATGTCGTCAGGCCGTCCAACGACGGCAGCACGTTGGAGGACGCCTCCAGGCAGCAGGAGACGCAAGCCGCCATCAGCCTGCATGTTCCCTTCGGGACAGCCAGCCGCACTGGCGCCCTGGCCAAAGCGGCCGCTGCAGGCCCGCCGCCACAACCCCGCCCCAGCACCAGCGTTGCGCCGGGCCTGCTTGCCAGGTCTGGCGCGCCGACCGCCCCGCAGCCACCCTTGCACGCGCAGCCTGGACCCCTTCTGGCCAGCGAGTCCCGCGTGCCAGTGACACCGCCCAGGCGCCCTGCCTCAGGCGCCCCCGCCAGCTCCAGCGCCGACACGACCCTTGCCGACCGCCCCCTTGACGGCGGCGAAAGCGAGGGGGATCCCATCCAGGACCTGGCGGACGATGAGAGCGTGCCTGCCACGGTGCGGGCAGCGCAGCACGTCGCCGACGCGCACCGTGACCTCTGGCACCGGGCGTCGATTGGTCTGGCCAGAAAGCCCACAGGGCCCATTCCAGGTGCCGTCCAGTTGGATGGCAGATGGCATGCTGAGGTCCAGAGTAAGGGCAGGAACCTCTGGAGAGTCTTCGAGTGAGCACTTCGCCAAACTGGAGCCAGCCGATGACGGCACACCCAAGACAAGGAATGAACTCAGGAGGGGTCGCTCATAATTACATCCTTGATGCAGTCATTGCCAAGTATAACCCAGCTGACCCGCAACCGATCTTTTGCAAAAGGGGCCTCCAATCCCGTCTCCATGACCACGAGGACGGCGTCTGAGAGTATTACATCATCAGCTGGGACAAAGAAGACGGCTTCCGCATGGAAAGGACAGCTGACGAGGCTAGCGACCTGGACCTCATTGTTTCCCGGCGCTGCCCCGCTATGGCCAGAGTTGCTGACGCCAAGCTCACATGGCCCCCAGCCCCTGGAGCGCCCGCGCCGGACTCCCCCCGCGCGCGCTTCCCAGTGGACGTCATGATCGTGAGGTTCGGCGCCCGCAAAGGCATCTTCCACCCGGCCAGTGCAACGCGCGATAGGCCAGCAGTTGCGGCCCACCGCTGGTACAGGATCGATAAGGCCCCGTCGCAGGTGCAGCGCTACTGGGTGTGGGCGGCCATTCAAGAGGCGTTCTCCCTGCACTTCTCGCCCCAGTCTCTCTGGGGCACTGCGCTGCCCCTCACTCCCTACGCCCTCGCCTTCCGCTCCGCAGGCTGGGCCGAAAAGGAGAAAGCCGACTCCATCCCCAACATGGCAGCTGCCGCTGGAGCGCTCCGGGCGCAGTCCAGCGTCGCCCTCGGGTACGACGAGCTCCGAGACCCCGACGGGGGCGCGACCGACCCGCTCGTGGCCCCAGTGCCCACGGATGACGAGGTCGAGCAATGTTCAGGCCGCGTGTTCCAACGCATATTACCTGGCCCTTCTTTGGAGCACATCGAGGCCATTGCCATCAGTCACAGGCTCAACCCCAGCCAGACGCGTGCCCCTTTCGACTCCCTGTCCTCGATCGTGCTGCTCATGCGCGGCCCGCCAGGGACCAGGGAAACCGAGACCATTGCGGCGCTCCTCGACGTCTGGATCCCCGCGGTCCCACGCGGAGTTGCGATAGGTTTGTTCTCGAGGCCAGACAGAGGGGCCGACTTGCCAGCCGCTTGCCTGGCCAGCGCCGCGCGCCAAGGACAGCTGAGCCCGGCCTCCGCGCCCCAGGAAGCTGTGATTCGCGGCGCAGGCCTCAACTGGCGCCCGGCCACCCCGCTCTCTCCCCAGGACTTTGAGCAGGCCTGTGCCGCCCGCGGATGCCCTACCAACAACCCGGCCATCGGCGCTGGCAAGTGGCGCAACCCCGTCCATGGCTCGCAGCGTGGCGACCGCCTGCGGGTACTGCTCGTCCACTCTGACTTCGCCGAGGTCTCATGCAACCACGTGGAAGGCACGGCGAACGTCAGGGAGGCTGCAGTGGTGCGCGACCTGGTTGCCGCAGCTGCCCCTGACCTGATCGCTCGCGACAAGAAGGTCCTCGTCATCGCAGGCTGCCGTGCCAGCATGGTGGCGCTGCGCCGCGGCCGCCCGCTCCGTCCAGGCGCCTTCCTCGAGGCATATCACGGCCCGCGCAAGGGCAAGTCCATTGGCAAGGGGTCAACGCCCCCCAGCGCACCCCGCGGGGGAAACCGGCGGCTCCCCGGCCCCTGGCGAGTCCACCTACCGCCAGCGACCGACTCCGCAGGACGGACTCCTGCTCGCCTTCCCTGGGCTCGAAGCGCGGTGCCCAGATCCCTTCGCCAAGAATCTCATCGCCACCGGCGCCGTCGAAGGGTGTCAGGGTGACGAGGCAGCGCTTGTCATTTTCTGCACCGCCCGTGCGAAGCCGGCCAACGAGTGGGGGCTTGGGCGACGCCCGACGCATCAACGTCGCCAGGACAAGAGCCCAGGATGGCCTCATCGTCGCCACGAACGGCAAGATGTGCAAGGCAGCCGGCGAGGCCCAGTTCAACGCGCTTGCCGGCTCGCTTATATTTCATGCAAGCACGAAGAGGCCGCAGGCACCTTGCGCAGGCTTAATGAGGACTGGCTTCGAGCTTAGGTCGGGCATGTCCCCCTACAGGCGGATTTTGTGCGTAAAATATTAAGTAGTCGAAACTAATTTGCTGAAGTTGAAGTTGTCTTCTCCACTGCTCGCGCAAACATCCCACCCACCCACCCGCAACTTGGTTTGCAAAACCTGTTAAGACCGACTACGACGACACCGACGACAACGACTAGGACGACACCGACGACGTCTCCGACGACTTCGACGACGACAACGACGCCGACGCCGACGACGACGACGAAGACGACGACGACGACGCCAACGAAGGCGACGACGAGGAAGGAGGAAGGACGACGACGGCGACAGCGACGACAACGACGAAGGAGGAGGGAGGACGGTGACGACGCGAACGACGACGAAGGAGGAAGGACGGCGACGCCGACGACGACAACGACGAGGGAGGAGGGAAGACGACGACGACAACGACGACGACGACGGCGACGACATAGGAGGGACGACGATGAGACGCCGACGACGGACGACGACGACGACGTGGGAGGAGGAGGAAGGACGACCACGGCGACAACGACGATGGAAACGACCACGACGCCAAAGAGGACGACGACGACAAACAGGAGAAAAGACAGAGGACGACGTAGGCGACGACGACGACGACGCGGGAGGAGGGAGGACGACGACGACGACGACGACGACGACGCAAGAGCGCGCGCGCACGCTTTTGTTGAAAATCCGTGTTGCGAAACCTTGGGTTCTTGTAGGTTTTTTGGACGCACGAACTTGAAATCCTTCCGAAACCGATGGGTTCCGACGGTTTTCGGCATACGTCCGCGACGACGCGCGCGTCTGCACTTCGTCCCATTTTTTGCAGAGGATTCTCGCGACGGCACACGCGCAAGGGCGTTCGACAGATTTCGACATGCGCGCGCGCGAAGCCCGTTTGGTAGCATTTTGTGAAAATCTTGCAAAAACCTATGGTTTTCTTAAGATTTCGCAAGAGCTCGCGCGGAAGTTTTTTTAGCACACCAGTGTTGCGAAACCATGTGTTTTTGTATGTTTTTCGGAAACTCGATTGCGAAATTTTTCCGGCACCGAAGGTTTTTGAAGGATTTCGGCATGCGCGCGCGACGACGCGCGCGTGTGCACTTCGTCCCGTTTTTTGTAAGGGATTCGTGACAAAGTGTTATGTTAGAAAGAAAAATGTCCCCGCATAGTGTTATTTGACAGGGAACCGCAGGGGGGGGGATACCGGCTTGGCTGGGATGGTATGAATTCAAATTTCGGATGGACATGTGGTCATAATCGTACGTGATTTACAGCACGCGCGGGGGTCCCGATAAGTCCGGGGGGGGGGGGAATCTATTAGTCTTTTAGAAAGGAGAATATACCCATCAAATAAGCACACATAATTCAGAAATTCGTCCCCATATTTTTTCGACTATGTTTGAATATTCCTGCTGTTGTGGGACACTCCCGACCCAACCCCAACCCAACTCGAAGGCCCCAACTTGCCCTCCTTTCCCAGTGGTGGTGGGGGGGGGTCGTCGGGGAACATTGGCAATGCACAGACATAGAGCCCGTACACCCCCAACCCGAGAAGTTTGGGGTCTTCAGGTTGGATTGGCGTGGTCTGGTGGGTGGTCGCACTGCAGCATCTTGGCTGTCCTGATACGCCCGTTTTGAACCGCAGCACGTGTCGCGTTCAATGCGTCCGTGTCAGCACGTTGCGTGTTGGCTCAGCGTGTCGGCACACGGTTCGGCGAACGTGTCGCGCCAAACGCGCGTTTCCGATCCACGCGTTGAGCGCCGTGTCGGCACGCTGCGGGTTGTGTGTTGCGTATCGGGGTAGCTCAGTGCAGCATGCTCCGCGCACCGAGCACGGCTCCCCCCTTCCTCGCCCGCGCCCCCGTTCCTCCCTCTTTCGCAGCCTGCCTGCACTCTGGAATCATCGCCGGGACCTCTGGAGGTGTCCGGGCGGCGCGCCACCGACCACCGCCGAGTATATTCCCAGCAGGCTCTTTCTCACGGAGCGGTGCTGTCGTCCCTGGACCTTGCGGTCAACCCGCACAGCAAGGATGAGCAGCTTTCCAAGGTTGCCCTTGCGTCCTTCCCCTTCGGCCCATCCTTGGCCGCTCTCGCTGGCCGCGCCCCGCTCGCAGAGTGGCGACATATGGCCTTCCAGGGCCCTTGTATCCTCATCGTGCGACCTCATGACCCGGGTGGACTGTATTCCCCCCCCTCTTTTGTCAACCACTGCTGTTGACTGGACCCCCCCCCACCCTCCATCCGCCGCTACTGCTCCCGAGGCCGCCGAGGCCTCCCCCCCGACGTCAACCGCCCCTTCCCCGGCTCGGCACGGGGGAAGCCATCACCGGCCACGCGCAGAGGGAGGATGAGGATAAGGATGAGGATGAGGATGACGAGGAGGAAGAGGATGAGGAGGAGGAGGAGGAGGAAGAGGACGAGGATTTGGACTTGGACCAACCTGCGGGCGACTCGGTGCTTCACCTCAGGGAAAAGGAGGCCATCCCAGGCGGTCGCCTATGGGCGGCGGCGCTGGAACTTTACCTGCCCCGCGGCATCCTCCACCCACTTAGTGGGGAGGGCGGGGCAGCGGCCTGCGCTTCGAAAGGGTGGGTGTGGTAGGGTCCCAGGCGGGAGGGCCCACCGACAGAGACCCACGAGAAAAGGGACAGGGGGCCACCGAGCCACCCAGCCGCGGCGACGAGGACCCAGGAGGCGCGAGCCACGCCCAGCGCGGCGACGAGGAAGACCCCTACGTCCCACCAGCCCTACCCGCGCGCTGCCTAGGAGGAAGCCCTCGCGAGACCCTTTCGATCTCGGCGAGTTGCTTTCTCCTGGCGGCGGTATCTTCCGCCGCACCGAGGCAGGGCCTGCGCAGCTTGCGCGCAGTGTGCGGGGCCTGGCTGTCGCAGGTGCCCGCGCACTGGGTGCAAATTCGACGCCCGCCAAGGACAAGTATACTGTGTCCCAGGCTGGCAAATAGGGTCTGCTCAGCGGCCCCGAGGGCGTCACTGTCCGCAGCGTCTGCACCCTCATTGGCACCGTTCTCCGCGGCAGGAGGCTGAGCTCCCCTCGCGGCCAGTGCCTCCTCCTCCACCTTGCTGGCGGCGTCAAGAGCAACCTGCACACTGTCGTCCTTGAGCGGCGTCCACTGGAGGTCGCTGGAGGCGAAGTAGCGGATGGCTGCATAGTGGTTGAGGTTGGTGGGCTGGCAAACCTTCCTAGAACCACTACGCAACGAGGCAAGCGACGCACTCGTAGCTGCTGTCGCATTGCAGCTCTTGCAGCGGTACTCCACCTTCGTGCCACGACGTGCATAGTCGAGATCGTGGTCGCGCTCCCGTCCGAAAGATACCACTGGGTGCAGAAGGGCTGCGTCTGGCGCAGCCTCTGCATCTCGTCCCCACTTCTTACGGGTGACGACCTGGTGGCACGCCCAAGCGACATGCTGAAGGACGAGGCGGCGCTCCTTCAGGGCAGCCGCGAGCGCTCCGGTGTAGCTGCTGGCGACCACATGGGAGGCCACCCCCAGCTTGGCGAAGTAGTCCGCCCAGCTATTGCCCATCCAGTCGGCAATGTCCTCGAAGTCCTGCCGCATGATGTCGTCAGCCGTGCGGTGGGCTGGCGTCCATTTGAAGGTCGGTGGTCTGGCCACTCGATCCTTCATGATCTGGAACATATCTCTCCAGATGCGGGCGTGCTTAGAACGCCCTCGTTCGAGGAGTGGGTCCCACGCCATGCCCTCCGTCACAAGCGTTGCCAAGTCGGTGACGATGAGCTTGTGGTGGGAGTGCGTCTCGAGGGCCATGCGGACCGCGTACCGCTCGGCCTTGCCGACAGTCTGCAACTTGTACAACAGAGGACCATATTTCGCCCGCTTCGGCAGGAGGGTCTCCTCGTCAAGCTGTACTACTGACCACCCACATCGTCGAACTTCAGGGTGGTTGGACCCATATCCTGAGCCATCAGTGTAGGACACAGGTCCCCAAATCCCATCAGCGTCACCCCAGCAGAAGCATTCCGACTGAATAGAGTCAGTTGTGGGTAAGCTTGCACGGGGAGGAGGGATGCCGAACACCATGTCGTGCTGGTCGTAGTCGGGCTGTCCTGACACGAGCCCAGCACGAAGTAATCGGTCACGAACTTCGACCAGCCGTTTGGGGACCCCTGTCCATTTCGGCACTTTGGAGGAGGGAGGTTGACTCCCTGTCTCCTGCCAGGCATGCCCATCAGGTGGAAACAGTCTACTTGTTTCGCCAGGTGGTCCCTCCAGGTCGGCACCCTCATCTTCGCACTCTCCAACGGCAGGGAACAGCTCCTCGTCGTCGAAGCTGCATTCAGGCTGTTGGAACTCACCGCGTGATTCATCAGCCTGCGCCCGTGACACTACAGGAGTGTTATCGGGTCGGCTGCCCAGGTCAAGTGCACTGCAGGCCGCCGATTCATCACCACCTGCATCTCCTGCAGAAGTGCTGTTAGGTTGACTAACATTCACTTGGTAGGGACGGCAGGCTGTCCCTACCTGTTGGCCCTGCAGGTAGGGACGGCAGGCTGTCCCTACCTGCTGGCGCACGTAGAGCTCGTCGCACTGGAGGAAGACGTGGCCCTAGCACTGGTGCTGCTGGAGCTGCTGTCCACACGCCTGGCAAGGGCACATAGGGCGAGCAAGCCTCATGTCTCGGCGCGGCCGGATAGGTATGTTGTCGGCCCAATGCGCTTGTAAAGCGCCCAGCCATTGCACATTGCGTACACCTGCAACTGCATAGCGTAGCCCCCGATGCCATACATCGGTGCCCTCGTGCGTGTACATGTGCCGCTGTAGTCGCTCATGTTGCCACCTTTGGCATCCGTATTTGAGATGCACTCGCAGGTCAGCAGGACAGGTCTGGTACAGGTCATGAGCCTGTCCAATGTCGTCCATGAAGATGTGCGGGGCCAGCATGCGCCGCCAACCCAGGCGTCGTAAAGATAGCCAAGTGGCCGCGATAGGCCCTCGGGCCTTGGCCCAAGTGGTACTATCGTCAAAGGTAGCATCTATGGCGGCCCACGCCTTTCGCAGCCGTCTGGGGCTGATCCGATCATCCCAGACCTACTCGGCGTAGCGCACCACGAGGTCGAGGGTAACGCCGAAGATCGGGTCGTACTCCTCGGAACGGTGGGAGATGAGGTACGACGTGACGCCAACTCCTGTAGTGCCAGGAGCACCATTCATTACGGCCGCCGCCTGTCGAAGGTGGCGCAACGTTGCATCTGTGACCCCTGAGGCCCCAGCTCCGTGCGCTACCGACGGCATGGCGCCAGTCCGCCATAAGCATGCCGCTTTTCGGCCAACCGCCGCTCGCAGCATGCGAAAGCGATGCGCTCGAGAGCGAAGCTTCTGGAGCCTCGTCGTCTCGATGCGCCTTCGCACCCTCGGACCGTGCATCTCACGACCGAGGTTCCTCATGTGCGCTGCATAGGGAATTCGAAGCACCCCCCGTCCACGCAGTTGGTCGAGCAGACGGCGTGCTCGGGCAGAGCCGACCACAACGGCAGACTTCTGCGGTTGCAGCAGCAGCCCAAAAGCCGCCGCGACCTTGGTGAAGATGCTGGCGGCTCGCGAGAGCTGGGTGAGATCGTGCCAGTTCGCCGAGACGAGCTGCAGGCCCACGTCGTCCACGAGCGTGCGCGGCATGACCATGGGGGCGGTGTTCCGCGCATGCTGCGCCGCCCGACAAGTAAGAAGGTACAGGAGGTACGTCGCGTGCGCACACCCTGCAATAATGCCTTGAGTGGTGCTGGCGGCCTGCGACCAACTACCAAAGGCACGGATGCGACGCGGCTGGCGGTATGTCCCAAGGAGCATCCACGCAAGCCGCAATGGGTAGCCCATAGCCTGGGCCTCCCGCGTAAGGGCCCAGTGGTCCACCATCTCGAAGCACTTGGCCATGTCTAAAAGAACCGCGGCAGTGCATTCTCCCAGCAGCTCACCCACCTCCTGGTGCAGGTTGTGGTCAAAGGCACTGTCAGAAGAGGTGTGGCCTTTGCGAGTACCCCCCATCTCGTCGCAGTGGTATTGCTGCTGCCAGTGCGCCGACAGCGGGCGTCGGACTTTTGCCCAGAGCCGAATGACAGTGTTGCCCAATCCAGTGAGTCGATGTCCTCCGTCGGGTCTGGGAAGCCTTACGAGCTCATGGTAGATTCTGTCGAGCGGCCACTGGAGCGTCGCTTCGAACAGCATAAACATACCCGCCACAGCCTCCAGGGCTTGGTCGGACAAGCTGTCTAGCGCGCGTGGCGAGATTCGAGTCTGTCCTGCCGCCGTGCGTAACGGAAACGAGCGAATAGCCTCCCTCATCGACAGGACGCTAATCACAGGCAAAGGCGCCCAAGTAGCCGCATCCGCAGGCAAAGTGATAGCGGGGCTGTCGTGTGTAGCCCAGATGTCCCGCCAGTATGCCATAGCTTGATCCGCCAGGATGTACGGCTGGGAGTCAGGTACATAGTCGAGAATCTCTTGAGACGCTCGGATTTTGGAGGCTATATGGGCTTGACGAGACCCACCCATAAAGGCCTCTTGAGCCCAAGTGTGCCAAGCTTTCTCAGTGATAGAGCGCGAGCGCCTCAGAAGCTCTTCCGCCCGCCCTTCAATGGCATCAATGGTGTCATCGAAGGCGGGATCAAGCATCATCTCGATCACTTGTTGCAAAGTCTGCGCAAAGGAGGCATCCAACTGGTGGTATGCTCTCACTTTGGACTGCGCCCTCTTGCAATAGGCACCGGCCTCGTGGAAGGCCTGAAGCGCCTTGGCAAGCTGTTCCGAAGTAATCCGAGATGACTGCCCCACGAAGTTGAGCCGTTCGCAATACCGCCGAAGGCGGTTCCGCTCTGCCCGTAGATGCTGTGCCCACCTCTTGGCCGCGGACCAGGCCTCGGTGGTGGAGTCGTCGTAGTGGCGTCGGCGCGGAGGTGTCCACTTCACCTGCTGCCAGCGGAACCGTGGGACACCATGCCGGCCTATGTAAGGCTGGGCCTGTCGATCAATCTTGTCATGGCGGCCTGCAAGCTCGATATCAACCCCTTGAAGCACCGCGTCCCCAAGCTGCTGAAGCTGGTAGTGGACGTTGGCAGCCTCAAGAGAGGTGTCGGGTCTCTGGCACCCGATCACTCTAACGTTGTCGAGAAGAGGTCGTGAACGATGCCATGGGTATGGAAACCGAGCGCATCCTATGGGAGGTACCGCTGGGAACGCCCTGGGTTCCTCTGGCACGCAGCACCAGATGCTCTGGTCCTGTCCACGTACCTCCAGATGTACGACATAGTGCGGCTGCGGTATTCCGCAATCCCAATCCACCTGTGGTAAACCTCCCAACCTTGTGGAAAGATTAGTGGAGGCAATAAAGTAGTCGATGCAGGAGACCCCATCGTGCATGTAACAGTTATGCGTAGTAGGTACTGCTAGAGTGCCCGCCAGTGCACCAAGCCAGCTGTGAGTATTCAGGGAAGTCGAGGTCATATTCCAGTCGCCTCCCAATGCCCACTCGTACCCTGCCGCATTCCAAGCGGCCACACGGTGTGCAAGGGCCCATGCTATCTCCACATTGACCCCCGTCATCCCGATACACGGCACCATGTAAACACTGACGAACATGACCCCACCTGGGACCCCCCAGTTGACGTGTGCGGCCACCGCACGTCCAGGGAATACAATCGACTCTCCATCTGGCGGCTGGGTAATTCCAATGCTTGTCGTCACCAGCACGCAGACACCTCCACTGGTGGCGGTGGGGCCCTCCCCAGTGTGTAGAGCTGGGGTCCACAACCCGTGCCATCCCAAATCGAGGCACGAGTGTTGCCTCTGCCCCAGGTCATCCACCGTGGTGCGAGTTTCTCGACAGAAGAACACGGCCACGGAACTTCTTGTCGTACTTCAGCATGGGTCCAAAGGATCCTGCATTTACAGTACCCACAACCGAAGAGCGCGATCTGTGGGGCTGCGGGGCGCCATGAGGCTGGCTCATAGTCGCCCCCGCTGGGTCCTGGGTGGACGGAGAGTGGGAGCGAGCAGACAGGCTGCTCGTCTCCTGACTGGCACCGTCGCAGGCAGCAGGCATAGGCGTAGAACTGGACGCTGCCGTTGTGGATAACGCCAGGCCAGCCACGGCGTCACCAGGTCCATCGGGAGGACTGGCAGAATTCCTGCCGGCGGCAAGCGTCGTAGTCGGTAACCGGCTCCCGAGTATCCAGAAGAGGATGGGCGTGTGCCTGCGTCTCCGCGAGGGCGTTAACGTAGACGTAGAAGAGATAGGCGCGACGAACACGACGGTGCAGAAGGTGCCGACGACGAGCAGCAGGAATAGCAAGTCCACGTTGTCCGAAGTGAGCCTTTGGCGCTCGTGAGGACAGACGTCAATACCCATGGTATCAATCACACTGGTGGAGGGCTCAGCGACGATACGTTGAGTATCGATCGCATCCCATTCACTCCATCCTGGCCTTCTTGGGGCCCTTCTTGCAGAGGGCACTCTGCAACCGTTTGAGGGCCGTGCGCATGACCTCGGCTGTGGCGGTGTCCTGCTGGGGCAGTCCTGCCTCGCTGAGGGTGGCACGGAGCTCGGTGTCGTCGAGGGCGTCGACGTCCATGAGGTCAGGGTCTTCGTCGTCGCCTGCATGCTGCTGGACGTGAGCTGGCCCACCCTCAGCAGGTGGTGGCGGCGACGGGGATTTGACCGCTCGGAGCTTGTCCAGCGTGCCCTTGAAGGCCTCGAGCTCGCGGAGGATGGCGGCGTCCAAGTCCATGCCCTGGGCCACAGTGCCCAGCTGCTCCACCAAAATGGCGAAGTTCGGGAGGAGCGAGTGGAGCGTGGGGGGCCTTGCCCTCGGTGTCAGGGGGCTGCATGACCATGAACTTGCGGTCTTCCTCCTCCGGCCGCTGTAGGTCCGCCTCGGCCTGCTCCATCTGGGAGTCGCTCTGCGCCCGTTCGGCAACCAGCTCGTCGATCTTTTGCTGTTGCAATGCACGGGTCTTCTGGAGCTTCTCCACTTTCGCTCGGGCTGAGCGGACTCGGGCCGTGATGGACGTTGCCTTGTCCTCAAACGGCCTGTCGGCAAACAGCTCGGCCTCAAGGCGCTCCTTTTCCGCTGTGAGCCTGTCGCTGTACTGCCTGTCGGCCTCCACTGGGGAGCCGTCCAGGAGGCGAAGCACATCGTTGATCTGCTTGATGCGATTGCGCTAGACCGTGCGCGCAGACTCGGACTTGTCCTCGCTTGGGACGGCAGACTGGCTGCCAATCCCTCCCGTGGCCTTGTCCCCAGCGCCAGCAGCAGCACCAGGAGGAGCAGGAGGAGGCGGCCGCCCAGCTGCCCCAGGAAGTTGGCGCAGACTCATGACCTCGGCCTTGAGGTCGGCGATCTGCTTGGCGAGGTCCGCCGACGGGGACTTGGTCGAAGTCGATGGACTGGAAGTAGCAGGCTTCTTAGGGCCACGATAGCAGCTCCCCTTCGCAAGCTTGCACATCTTGCAGACCATCGCGTCGGCGGTGTTGAACCACGGCTTGCCGTCGCGCGGGTTGACGCACGATCGGCATAGCCAGGCTTGCGCAGCTGCGCGGCGTGCCGCCTTCCCCATTGCGGCTGCGCCGTGATGTATAGAAGTGAGTAGTTCTCCCCCAGGAGCTCACGATAGCACAAATATTTTGGCTCGCAACGACCCAAGAGCCGTTCCGAAGGTGGGTGGTTGCAACACTCGACGGGGCTTCAGAGTCCCGAAAAACCCTCGAGTGCGAGGAGGAGGAGGAGGACGAGGAGGAGGAGGAGGAGGAGGATTATGAGGAGGAGGAGGAGGAGCAGGAGGAGGAGGAGGACCAGTACAAACCCAAAAGTCATCAACGATGTTGGAATGAACCCTTCCTCCAAGCTCCCTCTCCATAGGCTCCTACAACGGTTCATTTCGATTGAAGGAACTGCCTCTTTGGAAGACATTCGTTTGAAGACCCTGAAGCATGCCAAAACATTTTTCTCGGGATTCCAACGCCACGGATCAACCTGACTGTTGCGTCGTGGGAATCCTGAGTCGTGTCAGAACGCCATTCCTGGGATTTCAACACAGCGAATCAACATAATTGTTGCACCTGTATAACCCTGAGTCCTTTCAGAATACCATGTCTGGCACGATGATGGGAATCCGTAAAACTCGTGCAACATTAAAAAACGAATGTGCGCTGCGCTAAGGCGAAAACCACATTTTGAAAAGGAACCGTCCTCAATCTGTGAAGCTCTTGGAAATGTTGGAAACGAATGTGCGCCGCGCTAAGGCGAGAGCTACAATTTAAAACGAACTGCCCTCAATCCGTGAAGCTCTTGCAAATGTTTAGAACGAATGTGCGCCGCGCTAAGGCGAGAGCCGCGTGCAATTTTCCCGAATCAGAGCTTGCCTCTGTATGGGTCCTAGCGGATTCAGATGGTTAGGTGAGGTGTGCCGCCGATTTCGGTGGCCGGACCGGGTGCCCGGGTGCCCGGGTGCCCGGGGGTGCCCGGGTGCCCGGGGGTGCCCGGGTGCCTGGTGGTGCCCGGGTGCCCGCGTGCCAAGGTGCCCGGGTGCCCAGGTGCCCGGGTGCCCAGGTGCCTGGTAGCCCTGTAGCCCTATAGCTTTATAGCCTTATAGCCCTATAGCACTATAGCCCTATAGCCCTATAGCCCTATAGCCCTATAGCCCTAATGCCCTAGTAGCCCTATACCCCATGTAGCCCAATAGCCCTATAGCCCTATAGCCCTATAGCCTTATAGCCTTATAGCCCTATAGCCCTATAGCCCTATAGCTCTATAGACCTATAGCCCTATAGCCCTCTAGCCCTATAGCCTTATAGCCCAATGTTCCTATAGCTTATGGCCCTATAGCCCTAAAGCTCCATAGCCCTATAGCCCTATATCCCTACAGCCCCGTAGCCCCACAGCTCCATAGCCCTATAGCCTTAAAACATTAAATTGTCTTTTTCTCTGGTATCATTTTAAACGAACGTGCGCCGCGCTAGGGCGAGCCACATTTTGAAAACCACCCGCCCTCAATCCATCAAGCTCTTGCAAATGTTTAAAGCGAATGTGCGCCGCGCTAAGGCGAGAGCCACATTTTGAAAACGACCTGCCCTCCATCTGTGAAACTTTTGCTTGCCAATTTTTAAGCTAGTCTCAGGCGAAACGCCCGGCCCGCCCTAAAAACTGGCCTTGCGGTGCGACAAGGAGAAGTTATTTTGTACGGAAGAGGAATGGAGGAGGAGGAGGAGGAGGAGGAGGAGGAGGAGGAGGAGGAGGAGGAGGAGGAGGAGGAGGAGGAGGAGGAGGAGGAGGAGGAGGAGGAGCGGGAGGAGGAGGAGGAGGTGGTGGAGGTGGAGGAGGAGGAGGGATGAGGAGGAGGAGGAGGAGGAGGATGATGATGATGATGATGAGGAGGAGGAGGAGGAGAGGAGGAGGAGGAGGAGGCCACGCGCAGAGGGGAGTAGGGGGAGAGTGGAAGGCTTCTGCGAAGCACCCCTGCTTCGTTGAAGGTGCGGGCCTTGTCTACAGATGCAAGGCCGGCGCCTTCTAAGAAGCAGCCTCCTTCTAAGAAGCCTTCCCCCTCCCTCTACCCCCTTTGCGCGCGTCGCCAACCTCACGTGCGCAGGCAGGGTAGTTTGTTTGCTTTGCTTGGCCCGTTCGCCTGGCTCCCCTGGGCTCCAGGGGGTCGGCGGGCGGCAACGGGTGGGCAATAGACGTGGGGGTCGAGGGTTGCGGAACAGTGGCCCTGAAGAGACCCCGAATGGCTTGTAAGCTGCCGCTGCGTGCCCCGACGGTGCACAAAGGGAAGGGTGCACGTTTCTTCCCCCCCCGTTTGTTGACCCCCTCGTTGACGAACACCCGAGGGGATCAGATACCAGGAACCCCAAGAGGGCCGAAAAGGGGACGGAACGAGCGAGGGCGCTGGCTGACAGCACTCTCTGCGCATTCTGGGCAGCATCCGCTGCCGCTTTCGGGGCGGGCGTGGTCCGTCTGGCGGCAAGCGTCGTCTGCCCAGCAGCAGTCGCTGCCCGTTTGGTTTTCTCGGTCGCCCCCACGGGCGCGACGGGAATCGCGCTTCGCGCGCCGCGGTCTGGGCCAGAGCGGCTGCCCTTCTCCAGGGCGGCGGCGCCAGGTCGCGACGCCAGCCGCGCGCCACGCACCTCGGGGCGCGATGCGCCGAGCTGGGTGACCCAGGCTCTGGACAGCGGGGGCTGCTGGGCGGCGCCCCCGCCAGTGCTGCCCCGATGCCGGTCATGCCGAGAAGCGGGGCACGTGACGTGGCCGGCCCGGGGCGCGGGCCCGGCACACGCTGTGGCTTGGCTGGGCACGTGCGTCCGCAGGGCCTCGCCTTTCCAAGCTGCGCGGCCCTCGTCTGGCGGGCGGCGCGGGCCCTCCTTCTCTGTGGGTTCGTGTCGCGTCGACGCGGCGGCGACCCCGCCGCGGGCGTCCAAGCTTGAGCGCCGCAAGCGGCCCAGAGCCGGCCCACATGGGACGATCAGCACCATCGGAAAGCAGCGATCTATCGAGGCGGAACGATTCGCGTGGTGTCAGAGCCGAAGGCGTCAAGACACGACCCTGCCGTGCGTATATCTGGCGCGCGGCTTCTGCATGTTTTCCACGTGTTCCCAATTTCTTGGCACTGGGGGACGAGCCGACAGGGCGGCAGGGAAGTGATGGGGGGCAGTCGAGACCCCAGTAGTTCCATTCGCTGCTCGCTGGGCAGTCTCCCAGGAGAGCTTCCTGGCGCAGCAGTTCCGCCAGGTTGCCCGCCTCATAAAAGGCCGGGGCTTACGGAAGGTGGAGCGGGACTTCTTCTTCGTGCAGCTCATGGGTTTCGACACGCATGGCAACCAGAATGACGGGCAGCTGGGCCTTGCCCCGCTCTTCGCCACAGTGGACAGCGCACTTCAGGACTTTGTGGGGGAGCTGGACGCGCAGGGCATCTTCAACAGCGTTGTGGTGGTCTCCCAGTCTGATTTCGGGCGTACCCTGACGTCGAATGGGGCCGGCACCGATCACGGGTGGGGAGGAAACCACTTTGTTCTCGGCGGCGCCGTTCGCGGCGGACAGATCCTGAACGAGTTCTTGGATTCTTACCTCGAGACTGACGAGCACCTCTACCACGTGGGACGTGGGCGCACCATCCCCAAGTACCCGTGGGAGAGCATGATGGTACCCATCGCGGAGTGGATGGGGCTCGAGCGTTCGCACGACAAGGCGTTCCCTAACCTAGCCTCCCCGCTTCGCGGAGGCGCACCTGGACACGCTTGCGGCCGTCGTTCAGGAGGGAAAGATAACACAGAGACGCAAATCATCATCGATTCCCAGGAGAAGATGGGAAAATTATGGGAAGTGGCGGGGAAGACGAAAGTCCACATAATAATCCGAAATACAAGGAATCCTGGGATCTGTGCCTTTTTTTTGTGTGCCCCTGTGCCCCTTCGAGTCGAGCGGGCCGGAGGGCCAGTGGCTCGTCTCCTGATCGCAAGGGCCGACAGTCCTAGGAACAGCACGACCCACCCCCACCCCCGCCAGGACCCTCACTCACGACCTGGGGATCCAGGGGGTCCTTCACCCAGACATGATCGCGTCGTAGAGAAAATTGCGACGGAAGGTTTGTGGCCAATTTCGGCCTCTGGGGGCTCTCGCCAGGGCTCGGGACCGTCAAAAAGCGACTCACGATGAAAAACTTGTCCTGGGGAAAGGGTCGGGTTTTGTGGGGACCACGTATAGAACAAATCAGGACGTCGCATGTCTGGGCAGGGCTCCGGAGACGGGGGTCAATGCAAACGGGGGTCAGTCAGAGCGCCGGCTCTTGCAGAATCCTGCAGAGCCAGGGCTGCACTGACCCGGGCTTGGGTGCAGGATCTCCTGCAGGCTTCTGCAGGAGATCTTGCAGGATCCTGCAAAAAGCCTCACTGACCTGGGTCTGGATCGACCCAGGTCAGTAGATCCCCCCGAGTCCGGGCTGGGGGTGGGGGTTCCAGCGGGGGCGGTGCTGGGTCGTGCTGTCTCTGAAGAGACGGGCCGCGCAGGCCAGCTTACGTGGCGGCGGCCACCGTCGCAGGCGGAAGCTGGCAGGCCGCAGCTGCAGCCGCGGCTGGGAGGGGAAAGCTATCGCGACTTTTTCGAGGTGAGTTTCTTTTTCAGCCGCCGCGGCGGCTGCGGCTGCGGTCGCGGCCGCGGCTGCGCCCCCACCCCCCTGAGAGATGCGGGCACGGAGTCGAGGCCATCCAGCGTCCCCCGATGCCTGGGTCTCCATGGCCTGGAGGGATCTCGAAGGGGGAGAAGTGGGTCTGCCCAGAGTTTCCAAGGGTGCAGTCTGCGAGTGTATAGGGCGCCACTTTGAGACCAACTGCGATACCGATCTGGCCGTTGCCTCGGGCCTTCTGAGCCGTGCTGAAGCCAAGTTTGAGTCAAGGGCCGTCGTGGGACCATACCCAGGCACTCTTTGGGCCAGCGTGGGCTGTCGTGAGGCCGTCTCGGGGCGTGACAGAGCCATGCTGTGGCCAGCTTGGGCTCGCGTCGGCCCTGTGGCGGCCGACGCAGCAAAACAGCATCAGGCGGTTTTCTTATTCACTGTTTTGCCGATCGGCGCGGGCCCTGGCCCCCCCCCCCTCCCCCTCCATGAGTAGATCTTGGCTGTTTTTGGCGCCTGTTTCGAGCAGGTGGAGTCTCCCCCATAGGACGCACCGCTCCAAACAGTCGCACGAAGCAGAGGTCCGGTGCCCGACCCCCCCTTTCCCCCCCCCTCCGCCCAATGTCGAAGCGCCGAATAAGAAAACGCTCACCTGTCAGAGGCGAGCTGTCCAGGTCTGCCCGAGGCGCCAGACAGTGCTATTTGACTTGCTTTGTTACGGGGACCCGCGTCCCCCCCTGGCAGGCCTAGGATGTTGGGCGGAGCAGTTTTTTGGTATCACGTGTGCAGGACCCCAGGGGGATATCCCACATGTGGCTGGTAGAGTATTCACACGCAGAAGGACGTGCGCGGAGGGAGCATACCTGCGTCTGGAATATGTGTTTCATGTGTCTCGGCCCCGAGGGGGGTATTCAGCATATTGCCAGCATATTTTTCAAGTAACAATACGTGCGGAGAGGGGTGGTGGCCAACATGCGTTCGGCGCGCGTGCTTTCGGCACGTGATTTCACGTGTGTAGGCCCCCAGGGGATGTATTCAACATGCGCCTGGCGGGTTCCTCACGTAAAAGTACGAGCTCGGAGGGAGTTGTCCATCATGAGTCTGGCACGCGTGCATTTGGTGCGTGTCTTCACGCGTGTAAGCCCCAGGGGAGGTATTCAACATGCGACCGGCGGGTTCCTCACACCCAGAAGTACGTGCCTGAGGAGGGGGTAATCCAACATCCCTCTGGTCAGCATGTTAGTCACAGGTAACAGCATCTGCGCGGAGGGGGGCGGGGGATATCCAACATGCGTTCGGCACGCGTCTGGCACGCGTGCGTTTGGTAAGTGTGAGGGCGCGGTGCGGCATCCGCATTGCGGGGGGTTGGCGGTTGGAACGATGCGCCGCCGTCGCCACCTCAGAAGAACAGGAGGGAGGAGGATAGGCATAAGGAAGCAGGAAGAGGGGGAGGAGCAGGAGAGAGCAGGGAGCAGAAGAGGAGGAGCAGGAGGCAGGAACATGAGGGAGCAGGAGGAGGTTGAGGAAGAGGGAGATGGGGATGTGCCAGGAGGAGGATGAAGAGGAGGGGAGAACAAAGGGTTAATGCATACACACACACATATATATATATATATATATATATATATATACATACCAGGCTACAGGGCCGGGGGCTCCCTGGCCGGGACCGCAACCCCCCATGGCGGGATCGGGCTTCCGTGAGCGCCCTTGTTCGGCCCAAGAGGCGCCGAAGACGGTCAAAGCAGGCCTCGAGACGCTTACGATCGATCCAAGACGCCCAAGATGGCTCCCAGACGGCCCAAGAGGCCTCCAAGATGTCCCAAGAGAGCCCCAAGAGCATTCCCAAGAGGGCTGCAAGAGGCCGAAATCATTGATTTCCGTGGGTTTTTTTTGCAGGTTTTTGGTTTTCTTGTTTTTTCGTCGTCCCGACCCTCCAAGACAGCCCACGAAGTCCCCAAGACCGTCCCAAGATCGCCCAAGAGGCCCCCAAGAGCGCCCCCAAGACGGCCCAAGAGGGCGTAAAAATAACCCAATCGGCGCCTAAGACCGCCCAAGAGCTTGCAAACACGGCCCAAGAGGCGTCGAAGACAGTCAAAGCGTGCCACGACGCGCCTAAGATCGCCCCAAGACGCCCAAGATGACTCCCAGATGGCCCAAGAGGCCTCCAAGACGTCCCAAGAGAGCCCCAATAGCATTCCCAAGAGGGCTGCAAGAGGCCGAAATCATTGATTTCCGTGGGTTTTTTTTGCAGGTTTTTTGGTTTCTTGTTTTGTCGTCGTCCCGACCCTCCAAGACAGCACACGAAGTCCCCAAGACCGTCCCAAGATCGCACAAGAGGCCCCCAAGAGCGCCCCAAGACGGCCCAAGAGGGTCTAAAATCAACCCAATCGGCGCCTAAGACCGCCCAAGAGCTTGCAAACACGGCCCAAGAGGCGTCGAAGACGGTCAAGGCGTGCCTCGACGCGCCTAAGACCGCTCCAAGACGCCCAAGATGGTGCCCGGATGGCCCAAGTTGTGTCCAAGACGTCCCAAGACAGCCCCAAGAGCATTCCCAAGAGGGACCCAAACAGCCAAAATCATTGCTTGCCTTCAGGCTTTTAAAGGTTTTTTTGGGGCTTCCTCAACTTTTCGTCGTCCCGACGCTCCAAGACGGCCCAAGAGGCCCCCAAGACCGTCCCAAGCTGGTCCAAGAGGCTCCCAAAAGAGCCCCAAGACGGCCCAAGAGGCCCCAACGACGGCCCAATAGGCGCCCAAGACAGCCCAAGAGGCTCCAAACATTGCCCCAAGACGCGCCCATGACGGTCCAAGCGTGCCTCGAGACGCCTAAGACCACACCAAGACGCCCACGATCGATCCAAGACGCCCAAGATGGCTCCAAGACGGCCTAAGAGGCTTCCAGGACGTCCCAAGAGAGCCCCAAGAGCATTCCCAAGAGGGCTGCAAGAGGCCGAAATCATTGAATTCCGTTGGTTTTTTTGTAGGTTTTGGGATTTCTTGTTTTGTCGTCGTCCCGACCCTCCAAGACAGCCCACGAAGTCCCCAAGACCGTCCCAAGATCGCCCAAGAGGCCCCCAAGAGCGCCCCAAGACAGCCCAAGAGGGCCTAAAACCAACTCAATAGGCGCCTAAGACCGCCCAGGAGCTTGCAAACACGGCCCAATAGGCGTTGAAGACGGTCCAAGCGTGCCTCGACGCGCCTAAGACCGCTCCAAGACGCCCAAGATGGCTCCCAGATCGCCCCAGTTGCGTCCAAGACGTCCCAAGACAGCCCCAAGAGATATATATATATTATATATATATATATATATATATATATATACACATGTACAGACATATCTGCATTTTCGCTTTTGTTCTTGTCCCAGGACGTTGGACAGCCTTCTTATGCCAATCTAGAGTCGTCATCTTTGCATCGCATTTTGGCGCTGGCTCATTCAGAGAACCATGTCCTCTCGCTAGTATACATAGCTGTGCCAACACAAGCGGTTCCCTTATTCACAGCAAGCTGATCCGGCACAGCTTCGGTCCCGGCCAGGGAGGCTGATTCTGCATCGCCCCAGGAGTGCCCAAGACGGTCCCAGACGGCCCCAAGACGGCCCCAGATGGCCCCTGGAGGTCTCAGGAGGGCCCGACGAGCGCCCCAAGACGGCCACGATTGGCCCACGATGGCCCAATATGGCCCAAGGTGGCCACTCGACGGCCCAACGTCCTCCCAGATGGTCCAAGGGGGCTCGAAGACGACTCCCAAGAGGCCCCAAGGATGTAACACACACACACACACACGCACACGCACACATACACACATACACACATACACACATACACACATACACACATACACACACACATACACACATACACACATACACACATACACACATACACACATACACACATACACATACACACATACACACATACACACATACACACATACACACATACACACATACACACATACACACACATACACACATACACACATACACACATACACACATACACACACACACACATACACACATACACACATACATACACACATACACACACATACACACATACACACATACACACATACACACATACACACATACACACATACACACATACACACACATACACACATACACACATACACACATACACACATACACACATACACACATACACACATACACACATACACACATACACACATACACACATACACACATACACACATACACACATACACACATACACATACACATACACATACACATATATATATATATATACACATATATATATACATACATACATCTGTATATATGTGTATGTATGTATATATATATATATACATATATATATAGAGAGAGAGGTGTTTTTGAGGTTTCGATGCCATTTTCGAATACTCGGCTCCTCGGTCACCAGAGCGCTCGAGACGGTCCGAGAGGCCCCCGAGATCGCCCCAATATGGCCCAAGAGGCGCCCGATTGGGCCCCGGGGCGGGCCCCGGACGGCCCAAGAGGGGCCCAAGACGGCCCCAAGACGCTCCAAGAGGCCTCCTGGAAGGGCTCCAGACGGCTCAAGAGGGCCCAAGGCACCCCAAGACAGCCCAACAGAGTCCCCAGACCGCCCCAGGACAGCCTCAAGAGGCCCCTAAGATTGCCCAGAGGGACCAAGACGGCCCCACAGGGCCCCAAGACGGCCCAGGAGGCTTTGAAAACGGCCTCAAGAGACCCCGAAGAGGGCCAACTCGTATATATCAGAGTGAGGGGGCCGAACGGTCATTCATTGTCCCTGGGTGCGCGGTTGAATAGGGAATTCGTGGTGAGAATTTTGCTTGTTGCGTTGTTGAGTTCTCATTTCTGAAGAATATTTATTGTTGATCCCCCCCACCAGTGCATACTGTCCCCTCTCAATCAAAACGTGCCCCTTGACGCTCGCACTCTTTTTTTGCATAGGGAAAGTCTTGATGCTCAGGCTGGGCCCCTGGCCCCCCGGATTACAACAACAACGGCTCCCGCCTGAGACGTCCTTAGCCAGGACCCCCGCTCCCGCCGAAGATTTCCTCGCATCTTATTCAGGAATCGCGCTCTCGCTGGGGACTTCCTTACAATTTATTCAGGAATCGCTCTCCCGGCGTTCTGGAGTCGCGCTCTCGCTGGAGACTTGCTTGCAATTTGCTGAAGAATAGCGCCCTTAAGTTGGAATTTCTTGCCATTTGCTCAAGCGCCGCGCTCCCGACACAGAGGCACCCAGTAGTCGCGCCCGTTGTGGCCCCATGTGCATGCCCTTCGTGGCCCCGCTGTCGCCGTTTGTGGCCCCCTCACTGTCCTACGTGGCCCAGTTGCTACCCTCAGTGGCCCCATCGTTGCCTTCAGGGGCCCCGCATTATCTGCCTTTCGTGGCCCCCGCTCGTTCGCGCTCTTCGTGGCCCCATATGCATTCCCTTCGTGTCCCCACTGTCGCCCTTCGTGGCCTACTTCGTGTCCTTCGTGGCCCTGCTGTCGCTCTCTCTCGCTCTCGCTTTCGCTCGTCGTCGCCGTCGTCGTCGTCGTCGTCGTCGTCGTCGTCGTCGTCGTCGTCGCCGTTGTCGTCGCCGTTGTCGTCGTCGTCGTCGTCGTCGTCTTCGTGGTCGTCTTCGTCGTGGTCGGTCCCCTGTCCGTCCCTCTTGGGGTCGGGTCGACGGTCCGCGGCCGCCCCGCCGATCAGCGCTGCCGCTGGCCAGGCCGACGGTCCGCGGCCGCCCCGCCGCTTGCCGGAGCCTGGCCTGCAGGGAAGAAAGGTATACCCCCCAAAAGGGGTTCGATCGAAGACGAAGAGGGCGGGATCGAGGGTTTGGGAAATACGCGTTATTGGACACTCGAGCAGATAAGGGCGAGCAGTCTTAAAATGATTGTTGTTGTTGCTGTTGTTGTTGCTGTTTGCTGTTGCTGTGCTGTGTGTGCTGTTGTTGTTGTTTGTTGTGTGTGTTGTTTGTGTGTTGTTGTTGTGTGTGTGTTGTTGTTGTTTTGTTGTTGTTGTTGTTGTTGTTGTTGTTGTTGTTGTTGTTGTTGTTGTTGTTGTTGTTGTTGTTGTTGTTGTTGTTTGTTGTTTGTTGTTGTTGTTGTGGTTGTGGTTGTGATTGTGGTTGTGGTTGTGGTTGTTGTTGTTGTTGTTGTTGTTGTTGTTGTTGTTGTTGTTGTTGTTGTTGTTGTTGTTGTTGTTATTGTTGTTGTTGTTCTTGTTGTTGTTGTGGTGGTGGTGGTGGTGGTTGTTGTTGTTGTTGTTGTTGTACTCTCATTCCCGAAGAATATCTATTGTTGATCCCCATGCTGTTGTTTCTCAATAAATGTGTGCCCCTCGACGCTCGCACCGTGTTTTTTGACAGGGAAAGTCTTGATGCTCAAACTGGGCCCCTGGCCCCCCGGATTACAACAACCACGGCTCCCGCCTGAGACGTCCTCACAATTTAGCCAGGACCCCCGCTCCCGCCCAAGACTTCCTCGCATTTTATTTAGGAATCGCGCTCTCACGTGGGACTTCCTTACAGTTCATTTAGGAATCGCTCTCCCGGCGCTCTCGAGTCGCGCTTTCGCTGGAGACTTGCTTGCAATTTGCTGAAGAATAGCGCCCTTAAGTTGGAATTTCTTGCCATTTGCTCAAGCGCCGCGCTCCCGACACAGAGGCACCCAGGAGTCGCGCCCGTTGTGGCCCCATGTGCATGCCCTTCGTGGCCCCGCTGTCGCCGTTTGTGGCCCCCTCACTGTCCTACGTGGCCCAGTTGCTACCCTCAGTGGCCCCATCGTTGCCTTCAGGGGCCCCGCATTATCTGCCCTTCGTGGCCCCTGCTCGTTCGCGCTCTTCGTGGCCTCATACGCATTCCCTTCGTGTCCCCGCTGTCGCCCTTCGTGGCTTACTTCGTGTCCTTCGTGGCCCTGCTGTCGCTCTCTCTCGCTCTCGCTTTCGCTCGTCGTCGCCGTCGTCGTCGTCGTCGACGTCGTCGTCGTCGTCGTCTTCGTCGTGGTCGGTCCCCTGTCCGTCCCTCTTGGGGTCGGGTCGACGGTCCGCGGCCGCCCCGCCGATCAGCGCTGCCGCTGGCCAGGCCGACCGTCCGCGGCCGCCCCGCCGCTTGCCGGGGCCCGGCCTGCAGGGAAGAAACGTATACCCCCCCAAAAGGGGTTCGATCGAAGAGGAGAGGGAGGGATCGAGGGTTTGGGAAATACGCGTTATTGGACACTCGAGCAGATAATGGCGAACAATATTAAAATGATTGTTGTTGTTGTCGTCGTCCCACCCGCGACCCACCCGCGACGCACCCCACGACCCACCCCGCGACCCACCCCGCGACCCACCCCGCGACCCACCCGCGACCCCACCCGCGACCCACCCGCGACCCACACACTGACCCACCCGCGACCCAACCCGCGACCCACCCGCGACCCACCCCGCGACCCACCCGCGACCTACCCGCGACCCATCCCGCGACCCATCCGCCACCCATCCGCGACCCACCCGCGACCCACCCCGCGACCCACCCGCGACCCACCCGCGACCCACCCTGCGACGCACCCTCAAGGGAGGAAAAACCACCCGGACCCGACAATTGACGTTTATTAAACGGCCCTGGGCGTTTACTGAACAGCCCTGCCTTGTTCGATTTATTCCTTGTGTGCGTTTACTAAACGGCTTCGCTTGTCGGGGTGATTCTTATGGGTTGGACTTTCTGCCCTCTACACCTGCGACCCACCCGCGACCCAACAACTACCCACCCGCGACCCACCCGAGACCCATTGCGACCCAGCCGCGACCCACCCACATTGGTTTAACGAAAAAAATCGGCGCCTGCGTCGTGCTCGTTGTATAATTTGTGAAACTTCGGCGCCTGCGGCGGGCTTCTCCAGAGTTTCGCAAAATGCGCACGTCCTTACCGCCCCTCACTCTTATCCGCATCTGATGTATATATATATATATGTTTATATATATGTATGTATATACATATATAGATACACACATATATCCTTGGCTGTCTGTCTGCCTGTCTGTCAGTAAGTCAGTCTGTCTGTCTGTCTGTCTGTCTGTTTGTCTGTCTGTCTGTCTGTCTGTCTGTCTGTTGCCTGTCAGTCTGTCGGTAGGTAGGTCGGTAAATGGGTAGGGAGGCAGGCAGGCAGGGAGGCAGGCAGGCAGGCAGGCACGTATGCATGCATGCATGTATGTCTGTCTGTCTGCCTGTCTGTATGTATGCATGCATGTATGTATGTTTGTATGTATGTGTGTGTATATGTATGTGTGTATATGTATGTATGTATGTATGTATGTATGTATGTATGTATGTATGTATGTATGTATGTATGTATGTATGTATGTATGTATGTATGTATGTATGTATGTATGTATGTATGTATGTATGTATGTATGTATGTATGTATGTATGTACGTATGTATGTATGTATGTATGTATGTATGTATGTATGTATGTATGCATGCATGCATGCATGCATGCATGTATGTATGCATGTATGTATGTATGTATCTATGTATGTATGTATGTTTGTACGTATGCATGCATGCATGCATGTATATACATATATGTATGTATGTGTGTGTTGTGTGTAGGTGTGTGTATATGTGGAGTTGTTGACTGTCGCCGTACTCATGCAGTGTCCCGAGTGGGCCCTCTTCGGGGTCTCTTGAGGCGCACAGTAGCTACGCATTCCTCGGGTATGCCCAAGGGACCCGAATGTGCTCTTTGTGCAGCACATTCCGTGGAACGCCCAACATGCTTGAGGTCCCATCATGGACTGCGCGGATGAAAAAACCACACACAAACATCCGTGATTCAGCACCAGGCGGTTCGATGTATACGTGAAGCGAAATACTTCAGTTATGCGCGTGGCATTGTGCGCCAGCGCCCAGGAGAGGAGGGAGAAGCAGGGGGCGAGGCATCACTTCATACGCCTGTCTCCACCCTTGTCACACAGGGGTCTGCGGACACAGGTTCAACCTCTCCCATCACATCATCCCCACCGAGACGCTCTTCGACACCGGTGCCACGCCCGCGCCGACCGCACCCACCCCGCTGCCCACCCTTTCCCCCACCCCGTCTCCAACTGCAGCGGCTCCTGCCCCGTCTCCCACGCCCGCCTCGCCCTTGTCGGCCCCGAGTCTGGCGCCCACTCCGCCGCCTTCCGTGGCAACTTCGACCCCGACAGTAGCTCCTTCGGTGGCTCCGACGCCAGCCCCAACGGCGGTTCTGACAGAGACAACCGTGTGGCCAGCCGGTTGCGACATTACGTACCAGGGGGAATCGTTGAACAACAATTGCGCGAAGTGCACAACAATGACGGACGGCCGGGGTGGAGGTCAGGCGCACCATGGAGACAAGTGCGTGTATCTTTTGGAGTGGGTTAAATGTTACCCTGAAACATATTGGGCCATCTCTGCTGGAGTTGGCACCGTAATCCGTGAGCCCGCAGGTTGCCCCGGAGCGCCAACCGCGGCCCCTGTTGCGACACCAACGATGGTCCCGACGGTAGCTCCGACGGGGACTCCGACAGCATATCCGACACCGGCTCCCACGTCGGTGCCAACGCCAGCAGTGCCGACGGCAGCCCCGACGGCAGGTCCGACAGCAGCTCCGACACCAGCTCCACCGACGGCGGCTCCGACACCAGCCCCGCCGACGGCGGCTCCGACGGCGTTCCCGACGCTGCCCCCTTCGGAGAGGGGCCCGGCGGACGACGCCAGGTTCCTGCTGCACGCCACCTTCGGGCCGACGACGGAGACCTTGGATGAGCTTCAGGGAAAGACCTATGCCGATTGGATTCTAGAGCAGATGCAGCTGCCGGCCGGCTTCCACCGGGAGTATTACAGGAAGCGCGTTAGCCCACGCAAGAACAGCGATACTGCGTACATCAACTTCCACGAGAGGCATATCTGCACGAAGGGCTCCCGCTGGCATGGGTACGCGGTGACCCGAGACGACGTGGGGTCGCCCATCCTCATCAACGGCGGGACAGTCACGATCGGCAACGCAGCGCGAACGGACATCGACCCAGGGTACGCCAACAACGGCCTCAGCGCGCCGATGACGTGCACGGACGTGCCCACACCAGAGATGGCCTCCCAGGGCCTCGCATGCAGCACCCACGGGCCGTGCAAGTACGACGCCGAGTGGGTCGCCAGCAAGCACTGCCAGCAGGGCTGCTTCGACGCGGGCAACGGCTACGACGGGGACGACTGCTCGGGCGGGTGGTCCTCCCGGAACGGATATGCTGGCTTTGTCTGCATCGTGGAGGAGGCTGTCGGCGGGATGGTCGTGCTAGGTGCGGGGTCTTCTTGCTCGCCATTCGAGCAGAGGATCTACTTGTACAATCCTGCCATCTGGTTCGCAGACGCGTCGGTGGCCGTACCGACCACCCTGCCGTTCGAAGTAAGCAGCTGGCGGCCGTCGCTCATCTTCCTGGGGGAGGACTCGCCAAGCTGCAACCTCGATGGCAAGGGGTTCATATTGAAGGACGGGCTCTTCTACCGGCACCAGACCAGGCTTGCTCTCGAGGACAACACTTGCCAACTGCAGTCGGAGGATGGCGCTGACGACTTTGGGTTCCTAGGGCACCTGTGCGGCTCTCCAGGCGAGGTCTCGAATGCTGGGACTGGGGGGCACCAGTTCCCGATCCGCGCTTCGGGGTGGTACCCGCCTGCGAACGCCGCGCCGCCCGATTATCTGTACGACAACAAGTACGGGACCCACATGTTCAAGTGGCCGCCGTTGACCGTGTGGCTTGCCAGGGGCGCGGTCTGGCTGAACCAGGCGCTGCACAACGCCGACCAGCTGCGCCAGCGGATGGCCTGGGCCCTCTCCCAGATCTGCGTGATCGGTTCCGTCCTCGGCGGCCACGACTACTTCACCGAGATGTGGACCAACTACTACGACATCTTCGTGCGCCACGCCTTCGGGAACTACAGGGACCTGCTGAGGGAGGTGACGTTCTCGCCGCTGATGGGCGAGTACCTCACGTACGCCTGGAGCTTCTCCTTCGACGACAGCCTCACGTATGCCGACGAGAACTACGCCCGGGAGGTCATGCAGCTCTTCACCATCGGGGTCGCGAAGGTCACCAGCGATGGTCGAGTGGTCGTCAACGAGAAGGGAGAGGACGTGCCGACTTACACCAATGAGAATATCATGAACTTTGCCCGCGTCTTCACCGGGTTTGTCCGCTGGAACGACCGGCGCATGAACATCGAGCTTGCTACCGAGGATGGGATCGCCAATTACATCGACCCGATGAGGATCCGGGGCAGGACCCACGACGTCTACCCCAAGCCAGACCTCTACGGCGGCTACCTCGGGGACGGGTACCCCCTGTGCAGCAGCATGCCGGACCGGCCCTTCCTGCTCGCTGGGGCCCGGTTCTCTAAGAAGAGAAAACGCCATAAACATAGACTTTTGGCGCTCCGCGCGGATTTCTTGGATCCGCGCTGGGCCCCCCGGCGGCCCATCCGGCGCCGCCCCTGGCGCGCTCCGCGCGCCAGGGAGGGGGGTCCATCGCAGATCCAAGAAATCCGCGCGGAGCGCCAAATGTTTATGTTTATGGCGTTTCTTCTTCTTCTAGGTTCGAGTTCCGCGGCCAGTCCGCGCCGAACTGCACGGAGCTGGACGTCTACTACGATCCGCGCGACATGGCTGGCCAGTTCCCCTCTACGACACAGGATTCGGACGCCTGCCAGCAGCGCTGCAAGGGTAGCCTGGGTCAGAAACCAGGCGAAGGCTGGCAAACCCGTGGCTGCTAAAACGGAGCTCCAGGAAATTGTTTTTCTCTTCCGGGAAGCAGCCCGCTTACTATCTAGTGCGCTGAGCCTTCTTCCCAGGAGTATTATTATTCTTGTCATTATTATTATTGTTCTTCTTCTTCTTCTTATTATTATTATTATTCCTATTGTTATTCTTATTATTTTTCCTCCGGGAAGACCGTTTTAGCAGCCACGGATTTGCCAGCCCTCGCCCAGCTTTCCGGATGCAACTCCTGGGAGGTCAAATTCTGTTTTCGCCCTGGTCCGAAATCCGGCTTAATCCGGCTCAATCCCGCTTGATCCCGCTCAATCCCGCTGAATCCGGTTTAATCCCGCTTGATCCGAGGCCCACTCTGGCGCAACAGCTCCCAAATGGGGCTTAAGATCCTCCTTAAGCTTTCCGACGAAAACTTCCCAGCAGTTGCCTCCTAACAGCTTCCGACAGGGGGGCGCCAGGTGCACACCTCGACACCGATCCGTGCCAGGTCCTCCCCGGCCCCAGGCTCGGGGCGTGCGCGCTTCCCCGGGGCAAGACCCCGGTGCGCGCGCCTCCCTCCCGGGGCAGGCCGAGGGGGCGTCTGCGCCGAGGCTGGGCCCCGGGAGGGACCTGGCCTGGGGGGGGGAGGAGGAGGGGGAGGGGGAGGGGGAGGAGGAGGAGGA